TTAAAGAATGCGTCCTGATTTTACAAAATCTTACAGAATTGGACCACAAATTTATGGAATATGACCTACATGTACATGTGTATAATGTACACACATTGGATACAAGTACGCTTGTCATTAAAGGGAATATACAACATTTGCAAACATCGAAAAACAAAACTACCAATTTTTTACGAAGTCATTTTCAAGAAAAGTGGTATTTTGTATAAATTTCCAACGGTGGTCGGCCGACCACCGTTGGAAAAACCTAACTATTTTTCAACTACTGCTCCAAATTTACCAATTTTTTTTTTTCAGTCCAAATTTTGTTTGCTATTGGTTACATGTTCATGAACGGGTGCAGGCCAGTTCTAGACTGGTTCCATTACCTTACAATTTTCTGGCATCTATACATTGATCCATTTCATCTTTGGGAACCAGACTACTTGAACATTTTTGTTTTTCTTGGTTTTTCCAGTATTTTCGAACACAAAACTTCAAACATGTCAGTGTAACAATATTTGATCTGTTATACAAACCCCTCAAAATAGTTCATTTCTGAAAATTACAGCAAAAGCCAATGATGTACATTCCCTTTAAAGGGTATAGTATCCCATGGACGCACATGTACAATAAAATGACATGCACTACTGAATGTACACATGTACATGTACATGTGTATACTATCAGTTGATAGGGATGCTAGCAATTGGTGCATGCAGTTCAAGGGCAAGTACAGCACACACATGGAGATTCCAGTCTATTTCACATGTGGGCGCGTATGGGGGAGGCTCTACCCTTAATTTTAGCGATGTGGCCGAAGCGAGATGCTAGAAATTCTATTATTGCTGTATGCATGATTAGATTTGTGCATCAGACGATCGGTCAAACGATGGAACTGATTTGAGATCTTGTTTGTACTGTGGCACAGTGCATTTGCTGATCATGTACACATGGGAAGTAATTTAACGTACATTAGCAAGAAATGTAATGAACTAGTAGTTAATTATTCATCTCAAATTTTCATTGTATTTTTTGTCCTGACTTTTTTTTTGATAGTGCAAAAGGAACTCAGGCCAAAGGATTCACAGGCCACAACATGCAAACAATTTTCGATTTTGGGAAATTATTCTAAAGTGAAGAAGTATGGTGAAAATGATACTTGGAATGATAAAATTGATACAACTCAGAAAAATTAGTATTTTAGACATCAAATAATTTTTTTTTATCCCCAGAGCCACAATCACCCATGCACACATCGTACTCCTACCACACCCCCATCACACCCCCATCTCACCCCTGTCACACCCCTGTCACACCCCTGTCATGGTCCGATCACACCCCCATTACACCCCATCACACTCCCATCACAAACTCCTCTACACCCCCATCACACCCACATTACACCCCATCACTCCCAAATTTCCTCTCCTCTCCTCTCCCCCTCCCTCCTTGCAACCTCATTAACCCCATCACACATGTCCTCACAGACATGACAGACCCCATCTCACTCTACTGGTAACTCACCCTATCATGCCCTACCATGCCCCCTTTGCACCCCCACTACAAACCCATCCCCAGATCACCCTCATCTCGCCCCAATCAAATCGGTATCCCACCCCATCCCAATCCCATTGTACCCAATACAGACCCCCTTACACCCCATAACCACCTCAACTATCCAGCAATCAGTTTACGATCTGTTCTTCTGATTAATCCACCTCATCTTCCCAGTTTATTTTCTTTTCTCTCCCCACAAATGTGACATTTGTCCCTAGTTGACTCTCTCATTCAATCGCATCCAATCGTTATAAATCTCCCGAACGGACCGGTAATCTTCTCCCCTCTCTAAATGTCATTCGTCTCGCTACGGTCCTCCATTCCTCGCAGTTCAAGTGTCAGTTTATCATTTAATTCATTGCTGTCATCTGTTGCATGTTTGGCATCTCAGACATGTGGTTCTGAATAAACCTGTTTAGTCTACTCATAATGCCACCAGTAGCTCTCGTTGGTCTAACAATTAATTTTGTCTACCGTCATGACCGTATTTAAACACGTGTTGGGTAGAGTTTGATGTAGATTAAATATCATGATAGTGTGATTATTAATATACGGGGATTTAATGGTCATTTGTTGTTTTTCTGCTAGATTTTCCAATTTGTAGGGGCCCAAGAAGGCTGTTTTAGACCCCTCCCCCTTAATAGATCCGTCACTGTTACTAATCAGGCAACAATATTTTGAAAATGTAAAGTACATATATTGTACGTGCATTACATGCTCGAAACAGCTACAAAATATCTTTTTTTTTAAACGTGCCATTCACAGATCAGCTTCATGAACAGTACAAAGAAGACCATGTGGTTTCTGAAACATATTTTACAGCCATATTTGTAGCCATAATCTTCCAATAGCCACAGAATCTCAACCCCTATGGTTTTCATGATTTGTACGCGACCTCTCTGATGAATTCAAGACTTTAAGTCCATTTCTTGACATGAGGATTGAAGTCTATCTTTATCATTGGTGAATTGTTAGATATTCTGGTACAACAAAGAAGATTCCTTGAGAATAAATAAGGAGTTAAAACTTAAATATGCAAGTCCCCAGAGTACATGTATTTTTCTCTGACGTCTGAGAAATAGGTGGTCAGTAAGAATACCTGCAGCCTTACCAGTGCATGTATCTTAATGCAATAAAATCTTTTTACTTCATACAATGTACATGGATCAGCCAGACAGAAAGAAACAAGATAATAATTTGTTAAGTACAGTTGGAAAGTACAGTGTACTTTTAATTTTTTTTTGGGGGGGGGGAGTAGGGGGAAACAGAACCAAAAAAAAAAAATATAAACAACTCAAAGCAAAACAAAAAATAAGAAAAGAAATAATTGCAATTTGGCATTTTTCAATATAGCACAGCAGTTACAGATTTATCCAAGTGTCAGTTTTTCCCCATTTGCTAACTTAGTTCTCAACCGGCAGTTGATGAGCATCCGTTTCCCTAACCAGGCATGCCAGGGCAGGAAATTAAAGTTAAAGACCCCTGGTTTTGCAAATTTTACTAGCACATGTGTCAAGTGGCTAGGTCCTTGAGGGAATCAGTTTTTGTCCGTTAATCCATGGAGCTGTTTTATAGCTCCATGGTTAATCATACTAAGGATTTGCTGTACATCTACAAGCAGTTGCGAATACCAGATTCGTGTCCGGGAAAAGTGGCTTTCATTTCACAACATTTACAACAACTGTTCCAAGCTTTTGGTTGGGGATGGGGTTCAAGGTTGCATTTATTACACATAGTACCAGTTTCGGAGTAAATGCCAAATACCACTAGGCAGGGGAGGGGGTATGTTGCTCTGCCCCCCTTTCCCCTTTTTGAGAAAACAGTAAAAAAAAATATTAAAAAAAACAACCATACGCAACTTTTTGATCATGAAACAGGATTTCGTCAACAGCACTCTTTATTTCCAAAAATCAGTCAGTTGACTGATCGTTGGAAATCACTTAATTTCTTGATTACGTTCTACATGTAAATGACAGCAAGCCAGATGGACTAATTCAGGGGGTGTTTAGTACCAGTACGATCTTTACTCCAAGTAAGCATTTTGATAATAATTTGGCAAGTTACTTTTGGGATAAATGCAAATGTTTGTATACATGCCTTTAACTAGGGTACATCTCCTTGTTTTCCCTTATTGTCCAGCAGAATTTCTAGTAATTGCTACACCAGGCTGTACGCTGATTGAAAACTGGTTGTGTCCGGTTGAGTCTGGTATTAAAACGCACATGCACATGCCAGAAACGCATCAGATTGGCTCAGCCATTTTCCCTCCCTCGACCCATTTCTTCCTGTTTGTGTCGCCAGGTTCCGGATCGACTGATAACATTTGTGCATGTCTAACAAGGACATCTGTGACAAAGCAAAGTTGGTTCTTTGCTGTGTTTAATTACTTGTAACTTGCCTGAAATTTTGAAAAGATTGTTTGTCATTTTGCGACCTTCAAACCCTCTGCCAATTATTTTGTGGGTTTTTTTTTCATTTCCCCTGATCTCACCCTGATGTATACCACAGAAAGGATGCCCAATATCCTCTCTTAATAACGGTTAAAATCCACCAGGAGCGTTTGAGGATTTTGTAAGATTCAACCGAGCTTTCCCTTACATGTACACGTTCTTTTCATGGGACCTTTGAACCCCAACTCCCTGGGGGTGTGCAAAATCATATTGAAATTGGAGGATTCAGGACTGTTAGGGATAGCAATTGCCCCTTCAAAGTTAAAAATACTAAAAATTGAAGGAAACTGTTGTAGTTAAGTCCATCACAAGTCCAGTCACAGGTCCTTTCATAAGTCAAGACAAAAGCAACGGAATGAACAATGACAAAGGAATTCTAACAGTTCATTTGAAAGCTAGTGAATTACAGATTTGAGGCTGGAGGACTTGTGATGGACTTGTGATGGACTTTGTCATAAGAATCTTGTATTGAGCAATGCAAGTGTCCCCTAGGTGGATTCGAACCCCCATCCCGCTGCAGGAAATCTGCCTCAATCCTTCCAACCACAAATTTCCAAATACCAAGAATTTTATGAATTTGCTTTTTTTTTTGCACTTTTGGGGTTTTTCTTTTCGTTTGAAGTAAACAAAATTGCTCAAAGTATTGTGCCTAACAACTAACCTGAGGAAGTTTCATCTCAGTGGCTATACATTTAAAAAAAAAAACAAGGAAAACTTATTTTTGGGGGGGTCTCGTAACTGGATTCCATTGCTAATCCACGCAAAAAAGTGTATCTGCAGGCACCCTATTTTGAAACCCCCATCAATATTTTCTTCCAAACGATCTTATTTCAGCCAGAATGATTTCACAGGGTATTTGATACCATTCATTTGATACCAGTCCTATCTTCACTTTGAGCAAGGTTTCTGTCATTAAATCGGTAGGTACATTATCCGGGGGTAATTGCCAATGATCCTACATGGCTTTAACAGCTTGTCTTCTGGGTTTTTTTGGTTTGTGATCTTTGACAGTACATGAACGGTGGTACCCTGAGTAGCGTCTTGCTAGACGAGTCACTCCATCTGTCCTGGATGACGCGGATAGCTCTTGCCAAGGACATAGCGTCGGGGATGAGCTACTTTCACATGCACTCCGTCATCCACCGAGATCTAACGTCCATGGTAAGTCTCTAGCAATGAATGGTGGTGTAACTGAGGGAGTGGGTTGGGGGGGGGGGGGGCAGGGGTGGGAGAGGGGCGTGGGGACCCCCGCTTAGCTTGAGGCCTTTACTTCCCTGTGTACCACTCAGTATGACCAAACCCTCCTTCCAGAAAATGAGGACCCCATAGTAACCCTCCCCCCCCCCCCCTTCTGCAAATTGGACCGTTGTGCCTTTGACACAGAAACAAAAAAGTGGGGGGGGGGGGGGGGGAACTAGCCACATTTTGGGTTCAACTACATGTAAGAGCAAATCCACGAAGGACCATTGTTCAACTAGTGATTGACTTCCGATGTAACTTAAACCTGCACTCTAATAGCAACGTGCGAACGTCTCTAGTCAAACGCAAGTCAAAACTCAATCATGAAACTCGGGGGGGGGGGGGGGGGGGGTCCTGGCTACCTGCTTTACATTGTGATGTGCGTGGCTAATTAATCCTGAATAGTTGTCTAGTGTAGTCGAACTTTGGTCAACTATTTTCATTTATTTCTTATGTGAACTGGGTAGCCCATTCAGTGGAATCCACTGATCTCCCATGGGTCCCAGTAAAGAGAAGACAATGTGAAGAAATTACAGTTTGAGAGGTGGGAGGAAAAGCCCAGAAGAGTATTCTGAGGAAAACCCACGGAATCAGGTAGGGCCTGAAAACCCAATCCCCATATTGGCCCAGGCAGGGTTCGAACCCGGGTCACAGCGGTGGAAGGCGAGGAAAGTACCTCTACGCCAACCTGACTTCCCAACCCGACACCAACCTGACTCCCTCAACTATCGAGAGTTCAAGTGAAGTTAGCAGAACTATGGTTTACTATATAGAAGATTTAAGAATGCGTTCCTGGGACTTATAGTACGTTGAATCAATGCATACAGCCCTAAGTTGGCACTCGCCCAAATAGTCAATATCTTTGCTGAACTTTAGAAACAGGCCACAACTTGGTATTGTTCCAAATCTGATGTCATGGTCTTATTTTGTAAAGGAACTTATCACTTACATTTTTGTTATTTCTAAATATAAGGAAAGACTAAACTGGTTCTGGACTCTCTTAGCATTGTGAAGAGTCGAACAAGGTTTTATTTACAGTTGCACGTATCTGTGACATTTGGCACATCACCAGTTGTAAACGTAGCATAATTGTTGTGATTGGTCATTGGTTAGATGAAACTAGACCTTTTTAATCGTGCACGAAACAGCGCACTCGTTGATTTCTGTTCAAAACATTGGTCTGCTAAGATCTTGTCCATGAATATTGCATGCATTAACAATAATATTTAGATCTTTCCCATACATTTTATTAGTGACTGAGTCTTGTCACCTCACACGTCTCGTAACCAAACATAATTGAATGTTAGTCACAGGGACAAACTCAGGAAAGACCACCAAAAAAGAAACTCCTGTTCACAACTAGCAGTAAAGTGCTGCATTTTCTTGAAGAAATCCGGGAAAGTTTTTGGGACCATCGTGAATATGTGCACGTTGGAACTTCCCTTTTAGATTTCCTAGCGCAGAGATGACAGCATTTCCTTCGACCAAAATAGCCACAACTTCCTTGATTGCAAGTGCAATCTAAACAAATACCAGCCTCACACACACACACAAATCTACTGCAATGTTATGATAATAAGTAGTGATTATATTTATGTGACCACATCTTGCATACTTCTGAAAGCAAATTAAAAATTGAAAATGTGGCTTGCAAACTTTTCAAAGCTTCCCTGCTTAGTGAAGACTCAGCATTCTAAACAAACACTAGCCACACTTCAAAAAGGCAGTCAACTGCTGCAATAGTAATGTTGCGATGATAGGTATGGAATTTTTTTTATGTGGTCAATCTTCAAATGGAATATTGTCTTTGAAAACAAGCTAAAAGTGGAAAACATTGTTTGGACAAGATTGAGTTCGAGGGAATTGAAAGTAGTTAAAATAAGAATTGAAGTATATATTTGTAGAAACATCAACACATTTCAGCAAATGAAAAGTGTTAAACCTGAGAAGCTTACATACAGTATGAAGAATGTATGTTTGATTTTGACTTTTGAAAGGTCCTGTCAAAACAAAAAATACAGCGGGTTTGGTTTAATTGGACATAAAAATAGCAGGTGTTTCATGAAATTGAAGGTCCTTGTCACCCAAGGCAACTTGATCCAGGCAATACCCAAATAGATAATGACAGGCAAATCTGAAATCTCAGTAATGTTCTGAGGAATTTCCACAAGCTGTTGTAAAAAAAAATCTACTGTGTTCTTCTAGAGGGTTCCTTAAGTTTGCAGTGCAGTTGCCTCAGGCCTGCCTGTGAAATGTCCCTCCCACGATTAAATGATTCATTCTAACCAAAGTAGATCTTGAATATAGACGCCGCGCACAGTACCCCCTCGACGGCTACAACGGGAGAGTTGGGGGAGACCACTGGGAGGGACATTCAAACGCATTGCTGACAACGCCTGACGCTCACGCAAAGACACTATGGCTTTGTGCACATTCAAGTTGTGCGCACTTCGCACCATGTGCGCATGAACCATAATACTGAAAATTGTATCCGTGTGGAGACATTTCTTTGTTCTCGTGTACTAAAGTTTTGAAGTTTGAAAGTACAGTTTCAAAATGCTCTTATTTTCACCAGAATTAATTTCCTTGGCTGAAATTCGGACTTAATATCCCTTTTCTAAAACTCTACCATTTGCGACGGATCAACATACCTTGGAAATTCCTAGTTTTTGAGTAAATTCCATATATCTATTTCGTGAAAACCTTGGGGAGACGTATTTATCTACAGAAATTGCCCTGTGGAGACGTACATGTATACAATCTTTTGTTCCCGATTGTGTGCATGTCTCCAGAGGGCACGGTGTATCAGATCACAGTACACACATACATGTACGGTGTGTTCCTCCCACTGAAGCTTTGGAAATTGGTCACAAGTTGGCGCTGATAATTTGGTACGCCATTGTCAACATTAAGGCCACTTGCCGGTTTTAAACGTGCTTGTTTAAAACTGGCAAAGCACATATTTATTCCCTTATTAATTCATAATTGTCATTTTTATTCTTTTTTCCCCCTAGAACTGTCTCATCAAGAAAGCAAGTAACGGATCTATGCATGCGGTGGTAGCAGACCTAGGGCTGGCAGCTAGAATACCCAGGTAGGTCAGGGGTCAACTGGCGAGGTCACAGGTCAGAACTGGTGAGGTCATAGGCCTGCCTACCACCGTAAACACCAGGGGCTGTTGGTGTATACACGTGTCAAAAGTTGTTTGGACAATATGATAAATTGCAGGAACCGTTTGGTGTTAAATCTATTTTTTATTTTTTTTTTATAGTTGATGTTGGGTAAGGGACAAGTACCCCCTGAATATCAGGACCAATATGTAGTTTACATTGTTGGATACCTGGCGGCCAACACTAACTCGACAAACTCGTCGTACGTTTTGCATGAAAAAACAACTTTGGAAATAATTTGAACTTTAATTTATATGTTAAAGGTGTTCTTTGTCGCTATTTCTACCATTTAAACCTTTTTTTGATGTTCCAAAACTTATACAAAATTTGCTGACGCTGGGTTGACGACCATTGACGCTTGTTGACGCTTGTTGACGCATTTTAGTAGGACCGGAATTAAGGGCCACAGTCTCCTGCTAAATTGACAACAACAAAAATATGCAGTCTAAAAACATGTTTATTTTTGTTTCTTTATTTCTATTCAGAGATCAGTCGGAGAAGCTACAAACTGTTGGAACTCCGTTCTGGACGTCGCCAGAAAACCTCACAGGAAAATTCTACACTGAGAAAGTAAGAAGTAGAAAACAAATATACTCTTCATAGTGATCAGCTATCGTGATGCGTTTAAAACCTGAACTCCTCAACATAACCCTAACCTTCCAAAAACTTCAAAAATGCTCTTTGCAAATTAGAGGATTCTGCAGGATTGAGGTCGTATGGTAAAAATGTTGGCTGATTTTGGAGGATGCACTGTGTCAAGGTCTTGGGCCGGACCTTGTGTTGTTTATGCTCAGCCGTGCATAAATTTGGGCCTAGATTATATCCCCCGCACTGCTCCAGGATGTCACTGGCTTTGCCTCAACATATTGACAGTGATTGCTGGAGGAATTTGCAGGATTGAGGCAGTGGTCACCCCTCCAAGGACCACATTCAAGACATAACAGAGGATTTTGCAGGATTGAGGTTGTATGCAATTTTTACATGGAGGCAGTTGGAGGATTATGAGGTTGCATCCTAGGCCAGTTTCTTCAGGCTTTTTGAGCTGCAGTGCCTGGGGCGCTTTTGAGGAATCCTTGGTTTCATTACCAGAAATTAGTTTGTTAACATATCACCATTTTTCTGTTTGATGTTTTCAGACCGATTTATTCTCCTTTGGTATCATCTTGTGTGAGATCATAGCCAGAGTGACCGCAAATCCAGACGAACTTCCTAGATTGCACGTAAGTATGTCGCCAAACAAATAATATTAGGAGAGACTCAGGTCAACAGAAATACATGTAGAATTTTTGTTTAGTACTGATGGACATTGTGTGTTTTTTTTTCCATTAACTAGACTCTGGAATCGTTCCAATCACCTGTCAATCTTTCTGTTTGGTTGCTCGTACGTATTTACCAATAAATCACAAAGAGAAACTGACTAGGCGCTTTATAATATTATTAAGTTGATCAAAGGGCAAAATTGGGAACCGCCAACATAGGGCTGGATAGCTCAGTTGGTAGAGCACCGGAACGACAATCCGGAGGCCGCAGGTTCAAACCCCACTCCAGTCCATCTCTTTGGGCAACTTTAAAAAAAATGTTTAGTTTATTCCAATCTTTGCATTAAGCCCGGTTCATACTTCATGCGAATACGAAGCGAATTTGACGTCATAAAACATTCGCTGCAAAATTCGCCCGAGTTGAAATGTATCAACTTTTACGAATTCGCAGCGCGAATACTCGCCATGACGTCACAAATGAGTTCGCTTACGCCTTCGCGCAGAGTATGAACCGGGCTTCAGTCTGGTTCAGCACAAATCTGAAATGACAGACAGAAACGGGTATAACCTGGCTGCTTGATGTGGATAGAATCGCATTATTTTGTTGGCAATAACTCTTCTATTTGGGTGTGTTTTTTATTTTTGCTTCAGAATTTTGGACTCGACATGGAAGCATTCCGTATGCTGAGTGGCAACTGCCCAGAGCAACTTCTCCTTGTAGCTTTCAGCTGTTGTAATGTAAGGACATGAGAGGCATTTATATTGTTGTATAGTTGTGTTCTTGAGCAGGACACTTTATAATAATCATAATCAATTTTTGAAGAAGTTGCTGTTTGGTTACCTTTTTGCATTGTATAGTAATAAATAAAGGAGCTCGCTCAGAAATATCTAGGAAGCTGCGGACCAACGAATTCATGTTCATGCATATTAGTCACGTGATTGTGCCATGTAATTTTCTGGAAAGAGTAGTGTTTTGAGTAAAAACAAAATAAGGTTTTTTTACCCCAGCTTGGTCATGTGACATGTTGGGGCTGGACTACCGATACTTTTAACAAAATTTGGTTGAAATCGGCCAAAATATGTAGGAGCAATAGACAATGGGAACGTTTGTTGCTAACTAATGGACTAATGGAGAGACATGATGATCTGTTGAGCTGCTATCCCGCAGCTAAACATGACATTTGTTAAGTAAGATTTGAGGCTTTGCAAGGTGGAGATACTAAATAATGAAAGGTTTGTGGAAACACCATGTGCGAATAATTTCTCAACTAAGAGAATGGTTCTGAAAAGAACCAGAGGTATAAACTCTGACCGTCTTCAGGAGAGTGCCTAAACTCTAAGAAAGTAAACACTTTCTTAGAGTTTAGAAAGTTGTTGCATGACTTTGTTACTGTTATGCTTTTGGTTTCAGATGGAACCCGGTAAACGCCCAGCCTTCACTGAGGTAGTTCTGAGCATCAGGAACATAGAAGCGGATTTCACCAGACAGAGTAAACGACTTCCGTCCTTATCAGGTAAAGAGGATGAATTTGTTCAAGAGATCTCTGATTTTGGTACTTTGATCTTGTGTTTGTTTCTTTGACATCATTTTGTCCAATGTTAAAATTAAGAACTGAATTTTTTGTTCTCGATATGAACTTTGTTACCAATCCTTCTTGTGTTCCTGTGGTTGTTTCAACACACTCTTTCCAGCATACCCTGTATCTATCTATCTTTTTAGGGAGGTGGGGCTTCCTTTGTTTTTGGCATCCAGCCCTGAGAAAGGTGCTGCTTATAACACTTTATAACATTGATCAAAGTGCTGAACAACAGCATTGTTCCTCAGGTGAGGAGACCAGTTTTCTGTGGCAGCTTGGGATCAGCGCTGTCTGGTCTCTACCTTCACAGGCCCCCATTTGTGCTCAGGGCAGACCCGGCAGAGAGAGGCAATTGTGGTAAAGTGTCTTCCCCAAGAACACAAACACCATTTCTTCATCAGGGTTTGAACCCACATTCCATCTCACATGAGTTAGACAACGTAACCATTTGACCAGGACACTCCACATCGCTTCCCTTGCAATCGCAAGCCATTCACTTTGTCTCTTATCTTTCGCACACCTGTTACATTTCACGTTTTACATTTGTACGTTTCCCCCTCAGGCCGTTTGAGATCGCAGTCGACCGTGGTCGTTCCCTACCAGCTCCATACAGTTCCTGATGCCAGGCCCGCCCTGATACGTTCCCCCCGCAATTCCGTCGTCCGTAGCAACTCCGACTCCGGCTCCCGTCCCCGTAAAGTCAACGTCTCCAAGAAGTGGGTCAACCCCTTCGACACGCCACACTTGAAGAACGGCCAGACGAAACTGATCGAGCAAACGTCCTCCATTGTGCTGTCTGAGCTTCCTGCAGAGATCCGGGTTCCCCTGCAAGAGATGCTCCAAGAAGACGAAGATGAGGAGGCGGAAATTGCCAAGGAGGCAGCCGAGAGGTGCATGAGGCAACGCTCCAAGTCACTGCCAAGCTCCCCAGTCATCCATCGGTTAGAACTCAAAGTGGACGAGAACATCAACGTCATCCACTCCAGTAGTGATATCAGCGATGGCATGAGCGTCGCTGACCGACGCAAGACTCTTTCTCCGGGCTTTGTCGCCTCAGAGTGGCTCGAGGGACGCAGGGCCGGCCGAGCCAGGAGTAAAACCACATCAGATGTGACATACCTTAAAAGTGACCCGGGGCTCGGAGCATTAAGCGAGGATAAACTGGGCTTGGGGAGCCGAGATCGTAAAATCATTGAAAGCTCAGAGGATGCCTAGCAGTGCGTTGGACCTTCCTGGATTTTTGTCCTTAGCCCCGCCCACCTTTGTTTGTGACTGAGTATGACCAAACTATTGTGGTCAGCTGACCAAAAGTGTTGATCCTATTGGTCAGTGCACACTGTTTGATTGAAAAGTGGGAGGGGCTTGTGGGCAACTTCTGTACAGCACCATATTAAACTAGTCTTACACAGTATGTGAGTGAATGCATCTTCCTGTTCATCAGATATATATCTTCATCTTCTTCCACTCTTCTTAAATATTCTGTCCAAGTATTAGAAACTTTTTTTTTCCATTTTTGTTGAGAGTTTCCATTCAGTATTTGCCCTTGTTTATATTTAAAGTCGGACCAGATTTTATGAATAGGTGAAAAATCTCATGATTGTGATTTTCTTGGATATGCGAGGCTAGTAAAGATTGGTTCAAGGGTCAAAATTTGACCGTTAACATTGCATTGCTTTCGTTTGGTATAAAGCGAGGTGGCACACATCTGGAATTAAGGTCGGAATGTTTAAAAAACAATTTTCGGTTTGTGTCTCTGCCCCTTTGTGAAGAGGTTTCCGAGTTTCCTTCGTACAAACAAGAGATCTAGCCTAGTACAGCAAGTCACGATTTTAGGTGGGCAAATCGGAAGCTATGTTGGGGGAAAATAGCCTATGGCTATCTAGGATAATTTGACCATTGATTCGGGAAAAAAAGGGGGGGGGGGCACAGGCCTTTTTTTCAGCAGAGATGTTCTGTCTATATGTTTTGTTTTTGGATTTGTTTTGGTACACTTGTTGAAAAGTGGAGGACAAATTATGCCATTATGGGCATTATTTGTGGCAGCAGCTGTCATAAGTGAAAAAAATTGGAAAAAATATGTTAGGTTTTTTTCCTGCAATATTAACGGGTCAAAGACGATATCTATGCCATTATGAAAAATGTTATTTATGCTCATTTACAGATGTTTTTATACACTTTAACAAAATTAGAACGCACATCGATTTTTCGATATTATAGGTTTTTCATGTATAAAAATCTATCCTGCCTTTAAACCTCTTATGCATCACCAAGTAACATGGTGTTCTCTTGCAAACGACATCATCACAGAAAGGAGATTCAACTATGTAGTAAATTGGTAAACTTTTGTAGATTTCATAATTGGACAGAAGAATTTCGGACAAATTATTAGTTATATAACTTAACAGTTAGCAGAAAAGTTGTGCTTAATGTAGCAGAAATATGTTGCTGCTTAAGCACTATTTCATGGCGTGGATGTGCTAACGGCCGTGCACACGTGGAGATTTCTATTGCTATGTCACAGATTTTAAGCACCTTTTCCCTCTGGGTTTAAGCGTGCTTTTGCTGTGCTTACTGCTTCAGGTCCCTATGAAATAGATGGAGGCCTGGTAAGCACAAAATCGGCTGTTAAGCAGTGCTATTAAATTGAGCCCCGGATCATACTTATTACAAATTTCACGCAAAGGGAATTTGAAAGGGTGAAGGAGAATGTCACAATGAAGCTTTAAAGGCATAAACATGTAGGCTCATTTGCTTTTCATGTATTTTGTTCATGTCCAATAATAACACCACTCAAAATATAAAGAAAAATGTTCAAATTGTAACCTGTTGAATTCTCAGCTCAGTGGCTATTATAGTTTTCAAGAAAACAGTAAAAAAACAACATGTACAACCTGATCACAAAAGACGATTTTGCCAATAGCACTCGTTATTCCAAAAATCAGTCAGTTAACAGGTCGTTGGAAATCACTCTACATTTCGCGATTTGTTCTAAATGACAGCAAGCTAGATGGAATAATTTCACGGACTGTTTGTACTCGTCAATCTTTAACGTAAGCAAGCTTTTTGATAATAATTTGGTAGGTTACTTTTGGGATAAATGCAAATGACCTGATCTGCCTTTAATTTTTGAAGTCATAATACTTGCTTCGCTTTAGTGTTTGCATGAAAAATGAATTGGCCTCTATAGTAATTTTGGCAAATTGAAGGATAAATTTAACAAATCATTATTTAGTTTGCAATATTCAATATTTCAATTAATATTTGCAGTTTTGTCTGGTCATGGTCTGTCAAGATGTTTGTTTATTGTTTATGAAATATTTCCCGCTGCTGTTAGACTTTTGAGTATGTATAGATTAAACAATAACACATAAAGGCTGTTAATTATTTGTTTTTGTATCAGGCATGACAAATCTTCATTATTACTGTTGCCGTAAAGATAGTCAGTCTGTACAAATGCTGATTAACTTTAATTTTTGTAAGCATTGATCATTGGGAAATTGTTGGTGTTTCTCAGATAATCACCGACTTGTTTATGGAAAGACAACAAATAAGTCTACTTAATATAGAACAGACGGTGGTTGTGAGCACTGACTTTTTGTGAACTGCGCTTTTTGCAAATTCTCTGCTTGTAAGAAGATCCCTAAACCCTGATCCATTATCCTTCTGAAATATTTTTTGCAAAACTGAACATTTTCTATTTTCTTCATATCAAGGAAGACAAAAGCTAAGAAAAAAATTTAAGAACACATTTAAGACAAGATAAGTTTGCGGTAGCAAAGGATGGGTGCGGTGAGGCGTGAGAAGGATGCAAACTGGTGAAGCTCGAAACTGGTGAAGCTGAGAAGGATGCAAGTTGACTGAAGGATGCTGGATGATCACTGGAGCGTGTCAGTACACAGTGAGATTTATTCACATGGTGCTATCGCAAACTTATCTTGTCTTAGTATCTTTCCACCATGCAAAACCTTCAAATCTCAAGAATACATTTGCACAGCTTCCACCCATTAGAGTTATACGGTTGTGTATGGCTGAGTTATTGTATTGTTTCTGTTTAATGTTATTTTTTAAAAACACTCAGTATAATTTACTTTGTACCATTATAATAAAAAAGAGAAGTGTATGGTAATAGCGTTAAATGGGTTTTTCCCAAGTGTTTTTGCCAAAACCTTTACAAAAAAGAAGAGATTTGCTTAAAAGTTATATTTACTGTGATATTTTGCAATATTAATGCACATTTAAATGTGCTTGTGTGGTTATTGTATGTTTAATTTCATATGGGTTTTGTATACGTGTTGAGTTGTGTTTAATTTGTATGAAATACGCACTAAAATACTTAAAAGAAAACATTTCCTTTTGAGTGTATTTTTTTCACCAAAAAAATCTTTTGATTGTAATTTAAAAAGTTCAGGCCAATGTCATGTATTTACACTCATACTACATGTATAAGTATATGGTAACAAAAAAAATGTATATCAATTAGCTTTCATATTTTAACTTATTAACCACACAATGAAAACACAAGAAAAAAGTTACACAAAGAATGTAGCAAACATGCATGTCAAAGAACGTATTAGTGCCCATTTCGAATCTTCAAGCGTGATTGTGTTACTTTGAACAATGCCAAATGCACTGAGTTTACACGATGCTACCTGTTTCTTCACTGAAAAAAATAGGACTTTTTAAACGAAAGTTATTTTGCTATGTTACCTGGTTTCAATAAAACCAACAGAATAATTGTTAGCATGTTAACAATCATTATATCATTTGTTATGACAGTTTTAATTTGTTTAAATGCATGTTTTGTAAGGAATAAGTATGGGTTGGAATTGGCTAGGATACTTACTTTTTTCTTTTTTTACCTCGTTTTTGGTCTTTTTTTGTGTGATTGTGAGTAATTTGACTAGAGATACTTCTTACTGTGATATTGTAATTGTTACAATTTTTTCCCTTTTTTCTGGTGTGGAAATTAATTTGGAAAATGAAATGGTCTGTATTTGCATTAAATTTGTAAGTTTTGGAATAATTTGTAAAAATCATTAAAAACATGTACACACTTGTATAATAAGAGCCGAATGTAAACAAATATTTGATTATTATGTAAATTATGTACAGAGTACAGACACAAAGAGAAGACAAATCTAAGAGTTATTGATTTTAAGTAGTACTGTGTTTTTTGGAGTGATTTGAAATAATTATATTTTTCTCTTGTTATAACAGACACGAAAAAAGGAAATAAACAAAAGTGAGAGAGATTGATACGAATTGTAAAAAGTATTTTATTCGTTTACGCATAAATGGTTGGCTCCGTTTGGTTGCTTTATGGACCTGACCCGCCGGACACATCTGGTGAACTGTGTTCCTCTTGTTTGACATGAATTCCTGTAGTTTGTGTGAAAACAAGTGAGAGTATTTCCAACTCCGTACATCATTTTTATTCCTCACAATACACAACGGCATCAATACTTTCCCATTACGTAACTCATCTCTCCCCAACAAAAGACAAGGCCTCCGCCCTACACGAAGTCATCGGGACAACAATGGGTCTGCAGAAGGATAACCTCGCCAGGTATTCTTTGCCTTTTTCTCTTGCTAAGTTGTTTTCCCACAGACTTCAGTGCTTGTGTTGTGTGGAGTGCCAGCATGGCGTAGGGTGGGTGACGTTGCATGGTGTTTTACGATGGTGGATTTGGGATGGTTTTTGATGGAGGTAGGTACTGTAAATGTGATACATTGTTTAATGTCTCTTTAATTTCTTGGACACCTGTCTTTTGCATGCTCTCGGTGTGTAACTCCCAGTTTTCAATGAAATTTGTGTGGATTGTCATCATCGAACTGAACACAAGAATGTTGGGAAAGATTCCCATATCTGGCCATCACTTGTCACCCTGTGCACAAACCGTATGAGACTGGTCTGAAATTTTTTTAAGTGTTTTCTCAGTAAATGCTTAATTTGACTTTTTAGGACATATTATCACTTTCTGATGGCTGATAGGTCACTGAAGGGACAAATTAGTGATGGCCAGATATGGGAATCTTTCCGAATGTCCATCCAGAAACCCTGTACCAGCCAATGATTAAAAGACCAACCCACCAACACTTGAAGATTTGCGACTCAGTTTTATGCAAGTTAATATGCGAATGGCTGTTTTCGCTGACTCATTGCGTACAACCAAGGAGAGTGCGAACTATGTCCAAACCGAATTAAGACTTATAAGAGGAACCCTAACTCCGAGGGGGTGAGCAAAATAGTCCTTGAGGGGTTTTCTTTCAGTTTTGTTAACTTTTTATATGCAGTGTGTAGCTGGAATGTATATGATTTGCATCTTTCACAATCTATCCTAAAATCCTATTAAAAGTTGGCATAAATCTATACATAAAATACTAATTCAGTATTGTAAACGATTCGTACTTAATTATCAAATTTGGAAATTACTGATACAGCTATAATCTGATAAAGTAAACGAGAATACTCGAAAGGTCTTCATAAGATATCGGGAAATTAGTTATGATGTACTCTCATTTCCCCTGTTCAATTATTGCGAAGTAAGCACTGAATTGGAAGAAGAAGACGATGTGGTATTCCTAAAGTTTTTTTTTTTTTTTGTTTAAATTCAGTCATTCTTTCGTCCGTACATGGTCCAGTCTTCGTTTATTCAACCTTTCAGAAAGCTGGGTTTTTTTTGTTCTTTTAGTGACTGTGATGAGATAATTTTGCGCATCGGTCCTCGACCTTAATTATCAGAGAAATGAGTACCGTAGCAGGAGCCGTTTTGCGGCGGCGGTGTTACTGTATGTGCCTGGCCACGTGGTGCGCTGGTTTCGTGTTGCTGTGCGTGGTTCACCTCCACATGCAAGGTAGGCTGATCCATCTACTTAAAAATACTACTTTATTTCTTCAGGCGTAGAAGGACCCACGGAAAGATTTCCATATACGAAGTTCACTCAACACCCTGTGTACAAACCCTATGAGATTGGACTGAAAAATTCTAAGTGTTTTCTAAGAAAATGCTTGTATTTTCTCACTGCTCAAATTGACTTTGATGACATGAAATTGCTATCTGGGGGCTTGTTAGTCAATACAGAGGAAAATTAGTGAACTTCGTATATGGAAATCTTTCCGGACCCACAATAAATGACTGGTGTTCAGAGGGGGTGGTGGTAGAATAAAACAGTGAAAGTGAAAATTTGGCACTTACTGAAAGGGACAACTTTAACCTAACCCTGTTTTCATCACAACTCTCCATGCCCACTTATATACCTGATGCGTGGCTGCCATCTTAGAGGACAATTTTTTTTTTTAAATTTTATTTGTGTATAACAGCAATGCCTAAAAGGTTAACTCATGCTATCCCAGCAAAATAAAGGCATTGCTCTCTAAGATGGCTGCTACGCATAATGCCTATTCGCTCAGCCTTATTTTTATCATATAATAAAGGAACCTTCCCAAATCCTCAATACTTACCAAAAAAATTAAAAAGGGCAATCAAGCCTCTCGTTAAGTACAATGGGTTGAATGGAGTCGTATGCCAAAAAAATCCCCCAAACTTCCTGATGGTCTGAAGGATTTCAGAGGGCCAACCCAGTATTTTACTACTTCTCTCAGCTCACATTTCTTCATCGTTAAAATTCAATTTACGTATCATACTTAAACCCCAAAATCTTGATATTCTCAAAAATGAAAGCATTTTTTTTTGGTTTTGTTGATGTTAGATTCTGTCGAGACTCATCGCTACAAACACACATTTGATGACGACGAGTTGCTCTTAATGTCACTGCTAGTGACGGAAGACGCACCGGGAGGAATCGATCGTCTTCACGGCACAGTTTATCCTCCTGAACACGGAAAGAAATCGAACGAATCGAGGGTAAGGATTTTTACGTCGACGATTTTCTATCGGCCTTTCGGTGTAAAAGCCTGAATACTATAATTTTTTTCAGCATCAACAAATCATAAGACCAAGCATATCCGCAACATATTAACTTTGTTGACATTTTTTATTTCCTCGATTTTCATTCTTGTGCCATAATTACCCACATTCTGCCTTTTTTGTTTAGGAAAGCCATCGAGAAAATAGCGTGTCACACAAAACAAAACGACAAAATACTGAGTTGGATCAATTCAGACGTTTGACAGAAATTCAACGCAGTAGGACAAACACCATCCGGGATGTTTGTTTGAAGCGACGTCATGAACTATCGTCCAATCAGAGCACTGGTGGGAAGCCCCGCCCTCAGTCGTCAACCAATCAGATCTCAACTTTGAGTTTGAGAACTTTGAAGCACATCTACGTATCTGACAAGCATCGTTTCATGTACTGTTACATCCCTAAAGTCGGTTGCAGTAATTGGAAACGAGTCATGATGTTTTTCAAGAACCCTCAGCTGAACATGGAGGACATTTCGTCAAGGGAGGCGCACTCACAGAACGACTTGAACACCCTCAGAAACTACGCACCGGAGGAGAGAAAATGGCGTCTGAAAAATTACAAGAAATTCATGTTTGTCAGAAATCCAGTGTCGCGTATCATTTCGGTTTATCGTAACAAGTTTGAGGATTTGGAAGTGTATCGCAGCGCGCCACTGTATGGCATCCGTCGCTACGGACGGTACATCGTGAAGAAGTATCGACGAAACGCCACGTCACATGAGATACAGACGGGCGAGAATGTCACGTGGTCTGAATGGATCACGTATCTGTCCAATCAGGTTGAAGAAGCCAACTTTGGCGATCACTGGATGCAAATGAGCAAGCTGTGCAGCCCATGTGACGTCAACTATGACTACATCGGTAAACTGGAATCGTTCAGCGATGACGCCGATTACATCATGAATGCCTTGAATTTGACTGACGTCATCGCCGAGTTTCCTGGGCGGGAAAACAGCCACCCAACAAATACATCAATGGATGTAGCAAAGCCGTACTTTGAAGGTGTTTCAAAGAAGAAAAAGTGGGCTCTTTGGAACACGTACAAGCTTGACTTCCAGTTGTTCGGATATGATAAACCGGATTTCTTTGAATGAGCCAAACGTTCAGATCAGTAGTTGAGGAGCATTGATTTTGATGCATGGGAGCCTATAGAGTAAAACGATTTATAGGTTGTGCACAGTGCGTTTGTCGGTGGCAAGATAATTTAATTATTGAAATAGGCCTCGGCGAATTTTCGTTGATATTGGTTGATATATTTGGTCCTAGACCAGTATAGGCTTATTAAAGGGAATATACATCATTTGCTTTTGCTGTAATTTTCAGAAATGGATGGAATTGGGGGGTTGGAAATATATAGCAAATATAGTTACACTGACTTTTTTGAGGTTTTGGGTTCGAAAATGCTATAAAAACCAAGAAAAACAATCATTTTCCTGTAGTCTGGTTCCCTGACTCCATTTAAGAAGAAACAAAGCAGTTTACATACATTGGGGAATTGTAGGGTCAGGGAACCAGTCTAGCTGGCTTGTACCCGTTCATAGGTGTGTAATCGATTGCAAACAAGTGCGATGGTCAATTGGGGCCAGTATTTGAAAAAAAGCCAGTTTTTTCCAACGCTGGTCGGCCGACCAGCGTTGGAAATTGATACAAAAATACCACTTTTCTTGAAAATGACAGTATACCAGGTGCCATGATTTTACAGGATGCTTTACACTGTCATTCACTAACACTCCAGCAAGGTGTTTCAAAAGTATTTGGTAGTTTTATTTTTTGATGTATGAAAATGTTGTACTTTCCCTTTAAGTCCGATAAAAGTGACCAACAATAAGACTGAAATTGGCCCTATATAGGATAAGCAAAGTAAATCAGTGTTGTTTTTTTCCGAGGATTTTATACTTTAACTGGTGGACTATTAGTAAGAAGTTAATTAGAAGATTACAATAGGCCTAAGGTTTGAAATGGAGTAACTGAGTTGGCTGTCATTTTCATAGTTTGTAACTTGTTTAATCTTGGACAATTTGCATTGCGAGTCACGAGTATTGCAAAATACAAAAGCACTATATGTATACCTATATCGGGGGGGGGGATATCCCCCAATATTGTGTAAAGAGTGGGCCCTTCTTTTGTTAAATAGTGCCCTTTTTCGGAACAAGTGCCCTTTTTGAGAAAAAGTCGTGCCTTTTTTTTGTGGCAGGCGGCCGTTACGGGTGTCTTTTTTTTGGTTTACTTCCGCCCATGTATCGCCCTGAAAACAACCATCATTGTATGTGTGCATAATCGTCAGCCTGAACAGCGCCCCCATCGAAAGATGCCCCCCCTAGCAATTTTATTTAACGGAGACACAGTGTCCGCGAGAAAAAAAAAACGTGTCTACATTTTAGCACGGATGTGCAAGTGCACTTTTCAACTGAAGAAGTGTTTACCCCCCCCCCCCATAAAAATGGCCATTGGCATTCCACAAGATAAAATGACATAAAAATCAGTTGCAGAGATGGGTAACATTTTGCCAACTAATTTTACTACGACCTTTCACACTCATATTTGTACCTAGGTCTCCTTGTTCGCTCACATTTTTCACGTCGTACTTGATGCGCGAGAACAAAAATGATCACGACGCGAAGATTTGCCAAAGTCCTCTGACCGATTCGAAATTTAGAATCGGCAATTAGTTAGATTTGTTTGTAAAATTTATGAAAATAAGTCCAAATTTATTCTCAAATAAACGTGCGTCCGCCACAAAATTTTCATAAATTTTTATCTATGTACGACTCCGCCGGCCCTGAGTTCACTAGCCTATGTATTTTAGAGTTTTTGAAGTTGGAGGTCATTTTGGCAAGATATTTATCGGTTTTTCAGTTTTCATAATATGAGATGGTAACATTTTCGAGCGAGATTTTCTTAGGAAATCAATAAACATGTTCTAAAAATTATTGTCAAAACCCCGACTTTTTCACACTAATTTTCCTATTCGAGGGGTCTGGAGCGCGCCATTAGGTGCCCGACAACTTCCAGGAGCCAAAACACGGGTATTTCGTAATGATGACTACAAAAAAAATTCCAAATAAACCATCAACTACACGTTCAGGCAGACCAGCTTTTAAGAGAGCGCCAGAAAGTTCGGACAGTCCGTTGAAAAAAAAAAGTGAAACGGGAAGTAGTTTCTCTTTGGGAAGGGCGCCCCTAACGTTGGATAGGTACAAAGCATATTTCGCTCGTACCCCCGCGCTTGGGACCCGAAAGTTGTCAAAACAGGATCTTGTATTGACAGCGTTCTTCTTCATCAGGCCTGTGTGCGACTGAAGATAAAATAAAATGAAATAAATTATCAATTACTCTTTCTTTCTGTATTGAGAATGTGTGTATTTTATACAACTCGAGTGATTCCCTTGCACATATTAATTATAGCGTCAGAATTTGAAGGGGATTGAAGAATTTTATTCGCATCTATGAGCAATGTGTTATCCTTGGAAACTGATTTTATTCAGAATTAATGATCAAACAAAATGCCAGCAGTGCGGATGTTTTTCAAAGTAAAAAAGACTTAAATCTGGAAATTGCTAATAATCACAACATGTTACTATTTTCACTGACAGGTCTACTTTTATGTTCCTTTTTTTAAAATCATATTTGGGTCTTTAATTTTTCCTTTATTCGAGTCTTCATCTCTTATTTCGTCATGTTTTTATAAGTGATTTTCAATGAAAATCCCGCTCGCATTATTTTTTACACCGATATTAATACGTATGTATTTATATGCGTTTACCTACTCAACGCTAAAGGCGCCCTTCAATATTGCTCAATTTAATGACGTCACTGTGTTTCACAGCCACACTGTTTGTGCAACATGCACTGTACAAAAAGATACGCAGGCTGCGCGTCGTACGATTTTGGCGCCAGACTAGATAGGTCGCTTGGGTCGATTACCGGTCCGAGGCGTCCGGGTACGGGTACGGTAAGTTAATGCACAGGTTTGCAACTGCAGCTTGTTGAGTGTAGGCCTAGTATTCAGTCCGTCAATTGTTTTGAAAATGGCTTCTTCTACTACTACTACTACTAGTGGACAGAGTGATTCTCCTAGTCCTAGTCCCAATAAAAAAGTCAAAGAAGAAGGGAAAAGCTATTCCCAGAAGTTTCGTGAGAAATGGTTAACAGATGAGAAGTACGCTCAGTGGCTTCGGCGTGATCCAGCGGATCTGAACAAGGGGAAGTGCAGCGTGTGCGGCACATCGTTTGTATCGAAGAGATCAAACCTTGACGACCACGCCAAAGGTTTGAAACATCTGAAGAGAATGAAGGAGAGATTAGAACCCATTACTCCTGCTAACCGTAAACCAATTGAACAAGTTGAAGTGCAGACCCCCAAAAAGACAAGCAAGGCCAAGGAAAAGATGAGGGCAGAAATCAAGCTTGGAGCATGGGCTGCAGAACACAACATTCCATCTCGAGCATTCGACCATTTTCCAGATGTGTTGGCCAAGACTCTCTCTGACTCCAAGGTAGCCCAAAGCCTGCACCTGAAGCGCACCAAAGTTTCCAATGTTATGACAAATGTGATAGGGCAGGGTTTTATTGAAGACACGGAGAAAGAAATTACATGTAGTGCCAAAGATCGCATGGGGAAGAGAAAATATAGTGTCACAATTGACGTAACCACAGATCGCTCCGCTGGTGAGAAGCAATTGGCTGTCATCATCAAATATTTTGATGGACCTGTCATGAAGACCCGTCTCCTCGACATCGTCTCTGTGGCAGATGGGGATGCTGAATCACTGTTTCAGGCGCTGTCGTTTGTCATCACTAAGAAAGGACTGGACTGGAGTGACTGTGTGGGGTGGTGTGCAGACACCAGTGATGTAATGCACGGTGATCAGGACAGCGTGAAGACTAGACTAATGAGTGTGAACCCTCACATGGCCGCAGTGAATCGCTCCTGGCATAGTGCTGCCCTGGTGGCCTCCCAGGCCTGTGAAGTTTTTCCTGGATCTTTGGAGAAGCTGGTGCACAATGTTTATAACTACTTTGCACACTCCAACAAACGTACGGCTGCCTTCAAAACATTTCAGTTACTCACGGACACAGAGCCCCACAAACTACTGAAGCCTCGTCAGACGCAGTGGCTGAGCCTGAGTGAGTGCATAACCAGACTTCTTGAACAGTGGGATGCCTTACTCATGTTTATGCACGCTCAAGATCTCAGTGAAACTGAAAGCGATACACAAGCTTGTGGCATCCTGGCAGTCATGCGTGACCCGTACACGAAAATATACCTGGAGTTTCTCTCCTTCGCGCTACCGAAAATACTCGCCTTCAACAAGACACTCGAGTCAAGTGGATCCACAATCCATATGCTTGCCGACACACTGAGAAAACTGTACTCGGATATTCTGTCTCTGTACATGGAACCAGCATTCATACAACAGTGTCGTTCGTTGGCTGACATCGACCCATCAAATGAAGCCCTCATGCTGCCGTTGGAGTCCACATACATCGGAGTTGCAGCCTTCCAGTCGCTCACTACGCTGAATTCAACCAATCAAATGAAGATCGAGTTCCTCCAGATGTGCAGAGCGTTTCTGGTGACCACGTGCGAAGAGATGAAGAATCAGTTTCCCTTGAGCGACCCCCTGTTGATAGCGGCCAGTAAGCTTAATATGGAGTCAGTGAGGACGGGCCATGTGACTTCCTTCGTGAGTGAAATACTGCCTCATTTCCCAGGAGTTATAGCCGATAAGGAGCTGCAAAGGGTGGACGACCTCTGGCGACAGATCCCGTACAAGGAGGACTTATCCGCAGATCTAGACTTTCTACATTTCTGGCAGAAAGTTTTCAGTAATGAACACTACGACCCTCTCAGTTACTGCGTCAAAGCGATCATGCTGGTCCCTGTGGCAAATGCTGATTGTGAGCAAATCTTCTCTGAGCTTCGCCAAATCAAGTGTGCGCAATCAAGCCACTGTACCGCGGACTCTCTCATGAAACTCGCAGCTGCTCGGGAAGGCATTCGGGAGACTGGCTGCGCTGACTTTGAGCCAAGCAAGACAATGTACCAGAAATTCAAGAAGAGCGGTACACTGTATGCACGACAAGTACAAGAGGGTGGAGACTGCAAGGGTGAACAAAACTAGCAATGTGATATGTGACCCTCCATGTGATATGAGCCATGTTTTACTGTAATTTGGAAAATTTATAAAAATAACTTTGAGCATCCAGAGCAATTAGACTTTGCCCATGCTTTGACACAACATTGCTCGCCTGAAAGTGTCGGAAAACCAATATATTCTCCAAAGCATCTATTTGCATTGTTTTAAGAATTTTTTTTAACTAAATGAAACTTTTTTTTTTTTTTTTACTTTTTTTTCTCATAAATTACTGCACCCAAACTGTTTCACGTTCGGATTCATTGTGATTCAGTTTTAACTTTTACAAGTAATGGTGCATAATGACTTGCTGCATTAACGTTTGTTAAAGGAACGTATGAACAGAAAAAAATGCATGGTGCATTTTGTAGTAATTTTTGGCAGAAACATTTTCGGATTGCGTTCTGGCATCTCTTGCTCCCTGATAGAGAAATCTTCTTAACTTCAACACCCATCTAAGACATGTCGGAAGCAAGGCTCCGTTCCTATTGGCTGGGCCTTCTCCCATCCCACCAATCCTTGGACACCGCTCGGAGCGATGACTGGTGGGTGCGTTTGCGAGATCACTACAGTGAGGGCGCCAGACATTACCACACCCTCCAGCACATTGATAAGATGTTCAGCCTGTTTGAGGAATACAAAGGAAAGTTGACTTCGCCAGAGACAGTCGCATGGGCCATCTTTTTCCATGAGTGAGTTTTAGCACCTAAAGGCGAAGTAAAAAAAAACATATTTCTCGTCCCCGCCTGCTTCCTTTTTGGAGGCTGCCTGGATTTTGTTAATTATTTTTTATTTTTGAAAAATGCAGTAAAAAAACACCGAAAAAGTCCACAAATTCATCGGAAAATAAATACTTGCGAAATATGTGACCAATACAACTCAAAATGACACTGTAAATATGTTCAGTTTTCTTGTCCAACTTGTCTTTCATTTTAAAAGTGTCTTTGAACAGTGGAAACGCCAACGGTTGCAGGAAATTTTAAAATGGCGACCATCTTAAAAAAAAACAAAAAAAACAAAAAACCCTCTTCTTCCTTTTTTCCAAAAACCCGGACGAGAAACATGTTTTTTTTTATTCGGCCTAATTTGTAGAATGTAGTTCGGGGTGGTCTGGCACTTATTTTTTACGAGTGCAAAATTCCTCGTAAAATGTAGATTAGCAATTGGACTTTATTTCTCGGGAAATTTTGAAACTGTCTACAAAATTGGTTACCTTTTCTTGTTTTTTTTCTTTCCCCTAAAAAAACCCACTTTCTAACAAACTGCCCTTAACCTCAATATGAAAAATAACCCTAACCATCCCAAATCCTCCGAAAGGGTCTGTTCCTACTATCACTCGGTGAATTGATTAATTTTTGGAAATGTAAAGAGTGCTTTGGGCCAAATTGTGTTTCATGATTAAAAAGCTAGGAACACTTTTTCATTGTTTTCTTGAAAAACTTAAAATCCACTGAGATGAAACTTCAAAAGGGTTAGGTTTTGAACATTCTTTGGATTTTGAGTGGTTATTATACTATTATTGGAAATGAAGAAAATGCATAAAAAGATCTTTTGTCTGTTTCTAGAGAAACTCCCCTCCCATGTTCCCAGTTTTGTTTTGGTTTTCTAACTCAAACTTGTTCCTTTCTAGCAGTCTTTTTAATAACTTGGTTTTAAAAGGCAGACACTGAATTTGATGAACTGGTTTTGTGTTTAAGTCTTTGTGAATTCTGTCAACAAAATTTCTTTGTTTCTCTGTATCTAACACAGCGTCATCTACAACCCCAAAGCATCCGACAATGAAGACAAGAGTGCGGAACTTTTCCAAGCATTTGCAAGCGAGTGCCTGCCTGACAGCCATAGTTCCATGGTCCAACGAGTCAGTGAACTGATCCTGATGACAAAGACACACAGCTCTGAGGCTCACAGAGTTCCAAACATGTGAGAATATCAATTGTTGAGTCACTCTAAACAGCCCCCCCCCCCCGTTTTTTTTCTACCTTAAATGGACTCGAACCCTCACACGTCTGTTCATGCAATGACCTAATTATCTTCACTGAAGTATGCTTTTCATACAAACGAGTCCAAATTGCATACTACTAAAATGGACGCCATTTGCTAAATGTGTTTTAGCCCATTGAAGGAAGAACTTTACAATAAATATGAAGCAGGTTAAACTAAATTCGAAATTTCAGTTCAGCGGAGTCAGTAGATGTACCTTTTTGAGAAAACTGCGAAAATGCATCTTCATATTTGTACGTTTACTTAGAAAGTGCGACGGTTTGGTCCAAACCATTGCAAGGAAATTATGGTAATTCCCCATTTCTGGAAAATGACAGCACACCAGGCGCAACGATGTCAAAGAATGCATAATCCTATTATTGTCTTACAATTTTCACTGAGCTGCCTGTTCACTCCATTTTTTTGGCCAGATTTGTCAGACACGTCTAACACCGCGTTCCCACTTGAATTGGAAAAAGGTGGATCAAGATCCTGCATTTTGGTGTGATCGTTATCTTACCGCAACGAAACCGCAAGACGCGTTCCCACTTATGCTTGATCCACCTTTTCGTACGGAAATGTCGGGTCCGAAAGGTCACTGAGTTCGGAATTACGCGCGCTCTGTGGGAGTGCCATTGTTGCATGGTTGCACGCTAGACCAGGATGGGTCAGTTTTCAAACAGCACTATCAGAATTCACCGACAAAAATTACGCGAATTCACCAACATAAATCACGGATCCGTAGAGGATCCGTGCGTGCATAAATTAACAGGTGAAATCAAACAGATCAGAGCCGCTCATTGTGTGACATCACGGCAGAAACCAATGCATCGATAAAGGATTCCCTGGTTCTGAAGCTTCTCATTGGTTAGAAAGGGTCACATGATGTACTACGACATCATTTCCAATTTTCTATAATCAATACTTCAGATTTGTCACTCAGTACGTACCGCGTTATCGGCACTATTCTCATCGCATACTCGTAAGCTTTTCCATGATTCTGTGCCAAAGTGAAGTCTTTTGGTGAGTGCGGACTCAGAGTCATTTATGGATGGAAAAATAAGTAAAATTTCACGAATGAAAAAAGGTTTAGTAATGGACGAACACGCAACAAAAATAAGGCCTAGTGTACTTTTAGGATACCACGTGCGCTTTTGCATGCGCGGTGCTAGCCCGTAGTTCAGCGGTTGTTTATTGTGCATGTTGTATACGCTGGAAATGTTCACATGAGCTACACGCCTGAAAACGTGTTTCTTCGTTCATGAGACCGCAACATTTTCGCGCCACTCGTGCACCGGGCGGATGTTACCAGGTCAAATTGCCGGATCAGATCCACCTTTTGCGTTCCCATCTGATCGTGATCGGCAATTGCCGGATCTGATCCACCAATTGGGGGATCTGTATCCTGGTCCAGAGGTGGATCAAAAAAGGTGGACCTGATCCTGATCCACCTTATAACGGTTAGCGTTCCCACTACACACAATTGCCGGATCTGATCCACCAATTGGGGGATCTGATCCGGCAATTTGGCAAAAGGTGGATCAGATCCCCCAATTGGTGGATCAAGTGGGAACGGGGTCTAAGAAACATTTCTAGGTTTCTTCAGGAAAACTGAAAACGCACTTCTTTTTTTCATTTTCAATTTGTCAGGTATGGTGAAGGCGATGAGCACTACTTCCTAGACTTTGACATGCAGGTGCTGGGTTGGCCGGATGCAGACTACGATCGCTACGCTCAGCAGATACGGCAAGAGTACATCCATGTACCGGAGGAACAGTACCACAGAGCTAGGGCACAGGTACTGACACCAGCGATGGAGTCAAGTCCATCACAAGTCCAGTCACAAGTCCTGTCACAGATACAGTCACAAGTAAATCACAAGTCCAGTCACAAGTAAATCACAAGTCCAGTCACAAGTAAATCACAAGTCCAGTCACAAGTAAATCACAAGTCCAGTCACAAGTAAATCACAAGTCCAGTCACAAGTAAATCACAAGTCCAGTCACAAGTAAATCACAAGTCCAGTCACAAGTAAATCACAAGTCCAGTCACAAGTAAATCACAAGTCCAGTCACAAGTAAATCACAAGTCCAGTCACAAGTAAATCACAAGTCCAGTCACAAGTAAATCACAAGTCCAGTCACAAGTCCAGTCACAAGTAAATCACAAGTCCAGTCACAAGTAAATCACAAGTCCAGTCACAAGTAAATCACAAGTCCAGTCACAAGTAAATCACAAGTAAATCACAAGTCCAGTCACAAGTAAATCACAAGTCCAGTCACAAGTAAATCACAAGTCCAGTCACAAGTAAATCACAAGTCCAGTCACAAGTCCATCAAATAACAGTGGATAAGCAATATAACAAAGAGATGCCTTTGTCAAAGCTCATTTAAATAGCTTGTGAGATGAAATTTGGACTGGAGGACTTGCAGGGACTTGTGATGGACTCGACTACATTCCAGACTGATACAGTGCATCATTCTAGATGCGTGAGGACAATAAAACCACAGAGTTCTGAGGGGGAGGTGTTAACCATCTGGTAAACTAATATAGTAGAGCTGATTTACATTAACCGTAAATTCTTTATCAGTTTCCATAATGGGCACTACCTGTGCCGTGTAAGGTTGTCGCACTCGTGCTGACCCAGGGTGTTGGCTCCGTGTTTTTCTCACAGATTTTGCCGGCCATCACAGCTTTGAATGCTTGCCTACTACTATGTTTGCCTTCTAGAATAGATAACTGGACGTAAGCCAGGTCGTGTGGGTCAGTGAGAGTGCAATTACTAATGTGTGTGTATTCTTTATTATTTTGTTGCAGATTTTAAAGGTATTTCTCAAGACGCCCAACATCTATGCCACAAGAGACTTCCGGGAGTTGTACGAGGATCAAGCCAGAGCCAACATTGAGAGGGAAATACAGAGGCTTGAGGCTTGCTAATCAAGAGGGGGAAAAAAATGACTCTAATGACCAAATTCTGCAAGTGGCGAACTTCTCTGTATCAGTCTGTATGGTTACGTTGCAGAAACGTATTTAGGCATTAGCGCAACGGAGTACTGAGGTACTCAAGGCACTGGGAGTTATGTCTATTGTTAGATGAATGGAGTACATGTACATGAGAGATATGAGACCCATTATGTAGCACCTTATAAGGGTTTACAAGGTGCTACGGTCACTGCCAGAAACACTGGGGCGAACCCCTTCTCTTAGCGACAAGTGTTACTGGGTTCTTTAACGTGCATTACACAACACACAGGACCTACGGCTTTACATCCCATCCGAAGGACAAAACAATAGTGGTAAAGTGCCTTGCTCAAGAGCACAAGCACCATGTTCCCACAGTCAGGATTCGAACCCACGTACCACGGCACACGAGTTGAACACCGTAACCACAGCACCCCACCTTGAAGATGACTTGAACTTGTTAACGTGAAGATAACAAAGACTGCAAAGGGAGAACATTGTTGAAAGAGACCTTGGCCATTTTTTGAATGTTTTTTGTAGCTTCTAAAAGTGATGGCAGAGGGTTTTCAGACAAATTGTTTATATAATAAATTTTCTGAAATTCCTTATGCCATGCAGGTATGCAACTTTTCCACGGATCTGCTGATTTTCTTGTTTTTTAATTTCTCATCAGTGTCATGAAAAACACTGTACAAAGTTGTGTGTTATGAATTTTCTCGTTTTTTTTCCCTTCTAAATTCTCATTTTCATGCCTGAAAATGCGTTATTTAAATGCAGGGGTATCAAAAGTTCATTGTTTGTAACTTGTGATATTGTACATTTTAAAAGGGAATTCAACATGAGGTACTATTATAGGAAAATTATCGAAAGTGTGAACTAATATAAGGGTTCATGTGGATTTTAAATTTTTAGTAGAACTACTAGTGAGCTGTATAGTTATTTGAAATATAAAACCTAAATAATCTTGTTTACAAACGTATGAATTGACAACCGACGTTTTATTCCCTAAATATTTCAGGAAAACTTTTATTTTATTGGTCTTCCACATTTTTTGCATTGAAATGTTTTGTGTTAACATTCGGCTTTTAGGTGCAGAATACGTTGAATTTTTTTTTTTAATTCAAATAAAAATTTACACACTACAAAAATTGCTACAAAAGAAGAATGCTACAAAGTTTGATGAGGTCAAACTTTAGAGATCGTGTTATTTTTAATGAAAACCATTTTGTGTAAATTATGTGAATCACGAAGCTCCTAACATACGCAACTTGCAAAAACGGCCCTGAGACAAATTGACGTCATGGTTCGTTTACACATGCGCTTTTATAGGAGCATGTGATAACAGATTGAGAAGTCATTTCATCTGTTTGCCGTTACAAATGCCTTTCTTGTGCCACACATACAACAACAAAAATTCCGGCTTGGAACAAGACAATGTTTCTGAAGTACACAGACTTTTTTTGTAAATTGACAACTTATATTGTAAAGTTGATGGTAGGATATATATAATCAGTTGCCACATAAACCGTCACTCTCGTTAATACAAACTCTGTAAATACAAGTTCTGGTTATAGTGAACAACAAACGGTGGTCCCCGACTGTGCATTAGTGTGCACAATGAATGGGACTGATGCTCCTCTTAATGCAAAGTTTAGATATAACCAACATTTTGACTAGGTCCGGCTAAGTTTGTATTGACAGGAATTGACTATCCATTTTGTCAAAACCATATGAGATTTTTGACAATAAAATTGTTCATGAAAACATTACATATAATTTCCGACATATTAACTTTATTGTCTCTTGTGTTTGCCATGGGCTTATTACTTGCTTCAGATTCAATGTTTTAATCTTAAATCGTTTAATTCCATTTATAATTTTTTTGGTCGGTATTGCAAGAATGATGTTGATCTCAACGGAACAAAAACAAAACTCGAATGACTATTTTTTTTCGTTCATCATGATGCACAATTTTTCCCTGATTCCAATATTTGTACAAGCTTAGTGTTTGACTACAACCTGGGCCCAATTTCATGGCGCTGCTAAGCACGAGATTTTCTACATTGTACTTACTAACAGAGCCTCCGTCTATTTCATGGAGACCGTAAGCAGTGAGCACAGCAAAAGGCACGCTTACCTCGGGGGGAAAAAGTTGCTTAACCAGTTCAAGCTGGAGGCCGTGAATACACGCACAAGTTTTGCGGTATTCGGAACAGATGACATAAACACGCAGGGAGCGAGTCAGCGACCCGCTCGCAGCGAGCGAGGCCGGAAATATGAGTGAGCTGTCGGAGGGTGCTGGCTTCAACCCGCCTGGCTTGAAGTCCAGTGAAAATATATCCCGCGCCACGTTCCGTTCTTGTCAAAATAATCCTGGCGTGAGCTGGTTAAATCAGCGACGTAATAATAGAAACCTCCATGTGCACAAGTGTGGGCACATGCCATGAATCAGTGCTTAATGTAAGCATAATTTCTATGCCAAGTAATCAGCGCCATGAAATTGGCGCCCGTGAAGAACAAAACACGGGCACAAAACCCAGTCTTAGGCCCGGCATCTTCAATATCGTACCAAGGCCCTGTATAATCAGTCTTGTAGAGAAATTGTCCCGTGTCGCTCTTAGAGATCTGGTCCCGTTCCTCCTACAACTTGGACTGCGGCATCTTCTTCATCAACGTCTCCAGCTTCATGGCTTTCATCAGATCGCCTTCCATCTTCAGCTTGCCCGACATGAACGCGGCTGTGGGCTTGATTTCTCCCTGGAACATCTTGACAAAGTCGGCCGAGTCCATCTTCATGGTCACGTCGGCGGCCCCCTCGGGTGGCGCGCCGCTTCCCGCGCTGCCGGCTCCGTTCTTGAGATCCAAGAACCACTGCCCAGCTTCGTCACCTGAGAATAATGAACATTTTGTAGAAGAGTCATGATTTCCATACAATAAGAAAATGTGCTATGCATTCCTATTTGTTGTACCAAACTGAAAACAATTTTTTGTGTTAGTTTTTCATTTACCCTTCATTGTAGCTATGTAATTTCAGCGTAACGTAACCTGTAATTATCAAAATGTTAACGACAACGTAAGGAAGAATCTAATCTCAAAATTATATGTCTGTAGTTGTCACTAAGCCGTGATCATTTTTGGCCGTTTGTTTTGTGTGAGTGTACATGTGTGATTATGCTGTACAGCCAAAGATGGATTATGACAAAAGTACAAACAATGTCTTTGTACAATGAGGACCCTTAATCAGCAAAGACCAAATGTACACCTACCCTTCAATTCAAACTGATAGACGGCCTGTGTGCCGGCCACGTACGTCTCCCCCAATAGACCCTGAATGCTCTCAAACACCTTGGCTACTTGGCTCTGGGCTGGTGGTGCCGAACCTGAGAAGGCTGGCTTGATGCCGGCCTGCTCCATCTGCTGCTTGAGGTCCTTGGGGTCCTCATCGGGGAGGAAGAAATCTGGTAGGAGTTCGTGGCCTTTAAGGAGGAAAAAAAATGAGATTGGCGATAAAAACGTCTGTTGTTGATCAACAAATGCAACTTGGCCAATACTCAGCATGCATGAAACGAAGCTCACCGGCACAGGCTGATTTTAAGGAGCTCTCATTGGACAATTTGATTGACACCTTCCAGGAAAAGTGAGAACAGCATGTCCTCTGATTGGATGACCAGTTCTTATTGGACGGCAAACACTTAGGCAGTTTCTGGAATGTGAGTTATTGATTTTCTCCGCCTTCATGAAAGGAGCTGGGCTATATTTGACAGCCAAAAAGGCGGATTTTGTTTTAAATATTGAACCTTAATTGGTGGAGGCCCATGTGGCATATCACTGGGCACTTTCTGTTGCCTTGACTGGGGGCTGAATGGGAACTTCTGGTGAAATAACCGGACAACAGTTACTCAGCTTGAAAAACAAAATCAGGATAACTGGATTTTGAAAACTCTGATTTCTCCGACTACTAGATCAAATTGCCTGTTGCAAGCTCTACTGCTTAAATTAACTGGTGCCCTCTATATTTCCTGCACAGACCATTAGCATTCAATGCAATCCATTGCCTGGTTCCCTTACCAGGCTCGCAGGCATACTGATCCAAGTCGGTCACACCCACGTCCTTCAAGACGTCTTCGTCGATGGTGAAGTTCCCCGTGAAGGACTTGCTGTCTTTGGTCAGCATGACGTAGGCCGCATCAGCCAGGATCTCGGAGGTTCGGCACTGTTTCCTCATCTCCTCGCTGCCGCCTCCCAGCATGCTCATGGCTGCCGTCCAGATAGCTGATGAGCAATGGCATAAGGAAATGAAAAAAGAAGTCCAAAAATTCAAAATAATGTGACATCTTTTGTTGCTTGGACTCTTGACAAGCAATACCATGAAAGTAACTTTTTTGTCCCATTTGTAAATTTATAAAAATTTCAATTTATTGAAAAAAGAAATTGTATGGACCAAATAAAGAATCAACCAAGGTCCTGCCACCTTGTCAAATTTGCTTGTTATATTCTTGGTTTGTAATACAACCATATTTGAGACACAACCTGTTATTTTGAGAAGTCCACTAATGAACTTATTCCTTCCTTCATTCGATCCTTACAAGTGCTGCCTTCGTATGGTTGAAGATAAACGCACTGCCAGAAACACCGGGGCAAACCCCTTCTCTAAGTGTTACTGGGCTCTTTTACATGCATTTCACACAGGGCCTAAGGCTTTACGTCCCATCTGAAGGACGAAGCAATAATGGTTAAGTGTCTTGCTTAAGGACACAAGTGTCGAGACCAGGAATCGAACCCACGATTAATTTATGTTTGTCCCCCTGTAACGGTAAAAGAAATCAAAATTCACGTTAAGTATAAATGACAATTTTTCATAAATGACAATTTTTCATGTATTATTTGACTTTTTGTACAGTTGTGATTTCCTACCTGTTTTGGGCCAGAGTGCATTGACCGCTATTCCGTCAGGTTTAAACTCTTCAGCCATTCCCAGCACACACATAGACATGCCATACTTAGCTATGGAATAGGCTGTAAAAAAAAAGAGAGAGAAAGAAATCAAGACAAAGAAACCATTCAAATGTTTTTGACACTCTAATTTGCAGGTTTTTTTGGGCTACATTCATCAACCCTAACTCCCGAGTGCCTTTTGATAAGTACTGGACCAAGTCCGCCAAAATCCATCACTGACCCTGCTTCACATAATGCTTTAGGACCAAATCCACGGAAATCCACCACAAGACCACCACTACTACAGGTGGATTTTGATGGACTTGGTACTCATGGCTTGCCTACTAAAATCCCCAAAATGGAGGATGGATTTGGGAAGGATAGGGTTAATATCCCAGGTGTACAGACACTAGTAAAAAACTTGTCACCAGCGTGTCTAGGGGTTTGCATCGGAGCCGGGTACCTGAGTCCCTCACCCATGATGTCAGGAACCGGTTCCAGATTATGGGATTGGGTACCCGTAACCAACTTCACAAATTACTTGGTAACTCCTCAGACAACGAAAAAGAAAAGTGTTTGAATGCCATTTGTGGGGAATTCTCAAAATGAAAACCAGGCTACATGGAAAACCAAAGCAAATTTTAAGTTTATGTGTGTTTTAACGCGCGACAGGAGACACTCGCGAAAGTTGCAGGTACAGCGTAAAGCTATAAAGCCCTTTAGACAATTTCCAGGATTTGAATTTTGGGGTTGTGTTTCTATTACGGATACCCCGCTACCCGTGTTTTACTTCAATAGGGAACCCATTGTAACTGGTTCTCATAAGCAGCTTCCATGCTCAACACACAACTTGGCTAAGTAGTATTTTTAGCTGAGCATCTACGTGAAATTGTTCCATGTGGGAAAATGTGATTCTTGTCCTGTTGCAATACTGCCCAACAACCCTAAATATAGTGGCCAACCGGACAGGGTTAGTTGCAAGTAGTGAAAATGCACAGAGAGTGATGAGTCATTTGTTTTGCTGGCTTAGGTAGTTGTGTCCTGCTTCTCTGGATTGTAGCAATGGTGTCTGGTAAAGCGTTCCAATCGACGATCGTGCAGGGGATGAAGGCAAATTTATAACGGTTTTTATTGGTAGTGATGGGTATGCAGCTGTTGGAAGTTTGATGTGTGTCTGAAGTTCCTTTTGACCAGGAGCCGCGACCGCATGTTGGAAGTTTGTGAGACACCATACTTTTCTTCTCTGTTGTAGATCTTCCCAGTTTAAGTCCTTTTCCATTGCTGTGACACTACTTTTACGTCCGTAGTCCCGTGACAAATCTAGCAGCCCTATTTTGAATTGCTTCCAGCTGGTCTATGAGCTTTTTGGTAAAATGATTTCTCGTGTAAAAAATGTAGTTTCCGATGATGGTTTACTCACCGACATGACCGCCAAACCATTTAGGTTGCATGGACAGTGGGGGACTCAGGTTCAGGATGTGGGGGTTCTTGCCCTCCTTGAGGTAAGGTATACATGTTCTTGATCTGTAAAAAAAAAAAAAAAAAAAGCAATTTTATCTGCGAATAACTCAATAACCATTGATTTAATTTTATTTCACTTTTTTCCTTGATACTTGGGCCAAATAAAAAAAAAACAGTTTCTCTTCCCCGCCGTAATCCTGTTTTTCTTGTCACATCATGTTTTTATTTTAATTTTTTTCCTTAAGTTTCACACTTTTAACGGCGAAATCTGCCGTATTTTCTGATATTTTTTGACCAGCAGAAATATCTTGTGTCTTAATATTTGTTTCATGAATGAGTAGCCATTTTGAGGTTAAAAAGCTAGTCTTAGAAAAGTGAAGGCACTTTTGAGAAAAACAGGATCTGCCGTCTTGAAAAAAAAATTGCACGAAATTGGATGACGTTTTGAAAAAGAGACAATCTTCCATCTGCCATTGGCAAAAAAAAGTTTCTGCATCATCCACAATTAAAAAAAAATAAATATAAGGCCAAAACAAAAAATTACTCGGTCTCTGGTCAGCGCGCGCGTCGATTTTAAATCATGCACGTCAGCCTTTTTTTTCCCTTCAAATTAACAAGGAAGCTACAACAGCGCCCTCTACTGCCGCACCTCCTCAAATTTTTGTACCAAGGAGCACCAAGGAATGGGGAAATTGCACCAAGGCAAATGATAAAGGGCACCGAGGCAAATTATGGAGGACACCAATGTATAATGAGGACACAAAAAAGCAAAATAGTACCCACCTTGTCTGTACAATTCAAGCTTGAAAAAAAAAAAAAAGCCACCAAAAAAAAAAAACACGCGTCGCCCCATCAATTCCGGAACTTCGGTCTTACAGGAGACCAATTATTTTTTTTTTTTGGCCTAATCTAAAACCTTTCTGGTGCTTAGCGGCTTCTGATGACCACACCTGCTAACTAAATAACTTACACCATGTATGTCCCTCTTGTGTTGATGTTGTTCATCAAGTCATATTTCTTCATGGGCGTCTGAAGCGTTCCTGTCAGTGAGATGGCGCTAGCGTTATTGATGAGGATGTCGATTCCACCGAAGGTTTTAACGGCCTCCTCTACGGCCGACTTGACCTGATCTTCTTGTTGAATGTCAACGATGCAGGGAAGGCACTTACCACCGGCATCCTCCACTGCCAACAAAAAATTAAATAAATTGCTTATTATGCGATCATCAAATAACCCATCAAGGGGAAATGGGCTACAGTTTCAATTTGTGGTTTACTTGATGGCTTGTAATAAAACTGTGCATCCTTCTTGAATAAGGCCAACAAAAAATTAGTTCTGCTTCCGATTACATGGCATTTGAAAATAGGGTAGGTAGGTACAGAATTTTTTTTCTGCAACTTTTGTTTGTGTACGATCATATGGAGACGTCTGCGCGTAATTAAGGGTGAAAGGTAAAAAGTGATGGTTTTGGGTGTTTTTTTCTCATTTTTCCAAAATAATTAGGGGCTGTCAGAATAGGGTAGGTAGGGAAATCGGAAGCAGAACTATATATTTTTTTTTGGCCTAATCCCGATTCCATTTCCTGGGTTTTTGCGGCATTGCTGATGCTGCTGAAATCACAACTTTGATTTGGGAGTCATCCCTGGCCACATGGCAGATTCAGGTTTATCAAGTCCCATGAACGAAGGCATCGAAACATCTTTTCAATATACGCCTAGATAGCTCTGTTGGTGGAGCACTCGTGTAGTGCTCCAAAGGTCCCTGGTTCAAACCTAGAACATGTGATGTTAAAGACAAGGAAAGGACGGCTCCCAAACTTGCTTCATGGAGACTTTTTCATTTTTTTATAAGATGTATCTGTTCATAACCCTCTTTCTTTTTCCATGGTAAAGATTTTCTGGAAGGCATCAAATTGAAGACACTTGTGGGAATCGAACCAGGGCCACCTACCCTCTTTAGCGGCAGTGTAGATGGTTCCGGGTAGCTTCGGATGAGCCGTTGCCGTCTTGGCAGCTATGACGATGTTGGCACCATCGCGAGCGGCCTTGAGCGCTATGGCTTTACCGATGCCTCGGCTGGCACCGGTGATGAACAGGGTACGCCCAGCGAGTTTCCTGGAGAAGGCAAAAAACAAACACAGATCTTTTGAACTAAAAGTCGTTCATTCTTTGTTATCCCATTATGTCTTCGTTTTTACAAAGGGGCTGACTATACCACCAACAACCCACTCCCAAACCAGGCTCTTATGGATAATTTGGTTTGAACAATTGCACCATTAACAAGCCGTGTTTAAAGCAACAAAGTGCATATCATTAAAGCACTATGTTGAGCACTATGTTCATACCATACAAATGCACTAGTTTATTTTTAGTAGTTTTTAATTTTCATGATACATACCCAGAATTTTTCTGCATTTTATGGGGCAGTCTTTTGTACTCTTCACCAAACCAAATGATCTGAAGTCTGATTCAGTACAATATTTGAATAGTGCTAAATCACTGCATCAGCGCTATGCAAGCTTAATTGAACACTGTACATTATCATTCAAGATTACGATCAACAAAGGTCTAAAGTTTATTTGGTTAAAGGGGCTACAGACTACAGTGCACACATTTAATAGGCCTACCTACAAAACTTCAGAAGGATATAAAAGTTTATTCATAATATCGACCTAGGCCTATAGATATTTTTTTAGGAAAAGCAACCATATTGCCAACAGTTGATATGGAAAAAAAAAGTCAAGTTAACAGTTGTTAGTTTTCCTAAAAATCTTTAAAAAAAATTATTTGGTAAATTAAAATAAAAAAAGGGACTTGAAAAGTTGCTTGCACAGAAATATATGAACCTTCAACAAATCAAAGCGGCACCCTTAAAATATATATGATTTCCCATTTATGTGTTTTCATCAAATTCATGCATTTAAAGGAAAAATAATCAAATAGGACTGGCGCAAAGAAAGGGCGCCCTCATTTTCCCTTGAGTCGATGTCGGAAATGAGGGTGAATTCAGTTTACACAGCGTTAACGAAGCTCGATTACGTGTTAAAAAAAAATAACATTTAGACACCCCAAACGTGTTATTCCGAAAATAAAAAAATGCCAAACGTCATCATTAGTGTATGATCATCATAACCCATAGTACATCAAATGCCACTATTGGTCTTTTAACCTTTAAAATCGCGATATTGTCGAAAATGTACTCACCCTGTGTTGAGCATGATTTCGACTTTTGTGTCAAAGGTCACTGTACCCTGGCGTTTCCCTGGTACTCCGCACACGGCTTTCCTACAATGACCGCTAATTAATTTACGAGGCAAATAACGGTAACCAGCTAACGCCCGAACTGTCCCCCAAAAATCTGATGTGACGCGACCGCAGGCCCTGGTTCGTTTGATTGTTGACAAATTTATTTGAATAGATTTTCCAGATTTTCCCATTTTTGTTTGATTTTGATCTTCCCCCGGGGTTCTAAAGGACTTGTTCTGGGCTTTTGAGGGATTTGCAGGCGCTATAGACCTTGGGAAGAGTTTAAATCTGGCGAGAATAAACACTGTTGTTGTTTGGATTTTTGTTTCAATTTGAATTGTAAAATTCAAAATGTATAAAATTGGGCCAATTTCTCGGTGTAAACTGTAAAGTGTAATGTAAAACTTATATTTTGACAATTTCATTTTCAGTAAATACTGTGTATACATACCTTGTTATTGCACATACAATTTGCTTTGTGTTATGTTACATCAGATAACAAAAGCGATTAGTTAGAAATTTAATAAACACAAATGTAAAAAAAAAAGGCTTAGGGCCTAATTTATGTTGAAATAAAAAAAAAATTTATGTAGCAACTCGGGTACTCAAAATGGTACACTTAAGCTTCCCACATATAATTTTATGTCTTACTATAAACACGGAACGTTTGCAACATCGACTGTGTGCTTGCAGACAGACAATCTTATAATTTATAATGCTTATTTGACCTAGATTCAGATTTATTACCTTGTTTTGCAAAAACTAAAAGGGGCACCGGAACGTCCTTTAAAAAAAGAAATTATTTACAGGTAAACGTATGCAGTCACTATGTGTTTTTATTGACAAGACAACAAGGTCGAAACGGAAAATGTGGAGACCTTGATAATTCCTAATACAGACCAGTGTTGACCTTATTTTACAAAATGAAAGTTTTTTTCCAATGTGTTGAAACATTTATTCTTTCAAAATCCATGAAACCTTGAAGGATTTCCTATTGCAGAGCAATTCACCAAAGCACATAACTTGAACTAACCCTGACCCATAACCCTGACATGCCTGGTGAAAGTTCCACACTAACTGTATGTTTGATGATTAAAATTGTACTCATTTTATGAGCCTTTTCTTTTAAAGAAAACTATTTTTGCAGGCACTTTTTTTTTTGTACAGGAATGGCCTTGTCTTGTTAAACTAGATTTTGGCCATTTCAACCAAAAATGTCGTTTGGTGCATGGTTAAGATGAAGTATATTTTGCTTGCAATTTGAACGTGTTGAACAGATGCAAAAGATGTAAGTGTCGGGTGGGGATAAATATATTATTTAATCATTGGTGTTCAATTATTAACACATTTTTCCCCGAGGATTTTGATTCTTTTAAATGAGCCATATTTTTTCCTCATAAAAAAAAAACCTTTTCAATTTGTAGATTGATTGCGATGACTTGTCTGTGATTTAGACAGCTCATCAACAAAGCTGCAAATCGTGGTTGGACCAACTCATCAAGACCATGAGCAGAGCCATGGATCCCAACAAGGACCTTCCACTCATGGCAAACAGCGACGTCATCCGGGTCCGTCGGTACATCCTGGACCTAGCAGTCCACTTCGACATGCACACCTTCTCTGGCAGCGTCACGCTCTTCCTGGAGCAGCCACAAGACAGGAGAGACGGGGGCAGTAACCCCGGTCGACGCAACGGCCGTCGGGACAGCAAAGGCACCTACTCCACGGACTCCAAGGGCAACTTTGTGCTGATCCTGGACAGCTGTGACATCACGGTGGAGTCAGCCCACGAGATCATCACCAGCAAATCTCCAAGGAAGGACTCCTCGTCTTCGTCACAGGGTGTCCCCCGTAAGGACAGACGTCTGCCCTCCACCTCCGGAAGCAAATTGGAATCAACTCAGAATTCCTCGAGGGTCAGTCCCGAGAACGGAGACTTTCAGGAGGAGGGTTCGTCGAGTCGAGTCGGCCAGGCCCTGCAGTTCAGCGTGGAACCGTGGTGCCTCAAAGTCTGGAAGGACGGAGTGAGAAGTCCGGAAGATTTCCCTGCGGCTGTTCTAATCAAATACAGCACCAAGTCCAAAGGGAGATCTCTGATGTGGGTATACGACCAGGCCGGCAAGTAAGGCAGAAATTTGCTTATCAAACAAAATCTCTGAAGTATTTCATCTTGAGTAAATGGTAAAAAGTATGTTCGTTCATCCATTTCTTTGTCTCTGCTGACTGGGTGCTTGATATGTGTTTGATTTACTATTTTCAAGATGATACAGACGAGAAGAATCTCTACATTGTCTGATGAGGTTTCAGACAAACCTTCAGTCATGTACATTGAACATAACATTTGTGCAGATTGCTGTTGGCTTATTGTTTAAATAAATTTATGGCCCAACACTACAGGTTCCCTATTTCTCCCAGGGATTCTAAAAGGCAACAAAATGGCATCTATCACGTTTTGGAAGCAAACTCTTCATTTATTGTTATTCATCTTCAAAACCCTTCACTTGTTTTATTTATCTGCAGCGAGTGTGTCTTCACACCAGGTGCCTGGATCAACAACCGTTCCCTGTTCCCGTGTCAGGAGCCCCCCGGAGCCTTAGCTACGTGGCAGGCTAAGATCAGAACGCCGAAGGAGTTTGTCGTCCTGATGAGTGGGGATGACGAAGCAATCACAACGCCTGAGCAAAATGGTAGAAACCGCTTGATTGTGTTCATGCAGATATGTTTAAATCAATCTGTGCAAGTTACTTGGCTAAGGCAGTTATTCAAGCTCGGATCCTTGTGGAAAATCAGCTACTACAGTTACTCCCCATAGACTGTGCTACTAGCAAGTTATTTGGGTGTAGTGTTGCGCATGCCTACGTGAGGATTGTGAACGTTAAACCAATAAAACAATAAAAGGCACCGGATTTCATAGCAGTCCAAATTTCATGGACACTGAAAAAGTGTTTAAGACCAGCCAGCCATGTCTTTATCATCCGTTTAAGACTGTCCATGTGATGGGCTCTCAACCAATAGCAGGCATGCAACTTTTCCTCAGATCAGCTGATTTCCTCTTTTTTTTTCTTAGTTCTCCCATTCAAAATTGAAAATCACTGTACAAAGTCTTCAGAATTAAGGAATTTCCTCTTTTTTGGTAAATTTACAGTTGCATGCCTGCAATAGGAATGGGTTAACTGTCTTAGGGTATTTATGAATGTGTATTTATGAATGACTGTACCTCTTTTTATTCTTGGCAGGTTTTGTGTCGCATCGATATCAAAGCACCTCAATGCCCATGCCCTGTTCTGTCTTAGCGTTAGCCATTGGTCAGTGGAAATCAGTCAACATTCCCCCATTGCAAGGCCAGCCTCCAACCAACACGGGAGATAGGTAAGAACTGGAAAAAAATAAATCAATAAAAGAATCATCAGGTTCTTAACACTGCCATGTTTGTGTCCATGAGCAAGATGCTTTGCAGCAATTTCTTAATTGTTCCCTGAATGAGAGGCTACCATTGAGGTTGGAGCAGGGAGACAGGTAAGAAATGGAAAACAAAATATTTCAATGAAAGAATCTTCGGGTTCTAACACTGCCATTGTTGTGTCCTTGAGCAAGATGCTTTGCAGCAATTTCTTAATTGTTCCCTGAATGAGAGGCTACCATTGACGTTGGAACAGTTCTTGAAAGAGGCCAATTGTAACTTAGATGAACAGAGTGTTGTGCTGCCAAAGATCTTGTGAGGAAAATTTTTACAAGCATACTCAGGTGGGACTTGAACCCACAACCTCCTGCTTACTAGTGCAGACGTCTTAGCAGTTAGCACTAGAACACTCGGCTAGTCTGGCTCAAGTGGCTTGTCCGAATCCTTTCTAGCAGCAGTGACTGCAAACCGTCCCCTCTGGCTGACGTCCCGTCGGTGGTTTCCTGTGTATAAGTTGATAGGAAATAGATCAAAATTTTGACTGTCTGTGATCGTTAAAAGAGGGCAACTTTGATGGTTTTCATTCCATCATCGGTTTTAAGGCCGTTGTCCAGTCTGTTCTGGGTTGGCCTGCTTTCTCCCTATGGCTCTCCTCCACTTGGCCCTGTCCGTCGCATCCCTCGCATTGACTCCAAGCAGTCGCATGTCATCTGTCACAGAGCTCTGCCACGTCTTGCGCGGTCGGCCAACGGGTGTTGGCCCACCCACGACTATTTTGGTACACCTCTTGACCCAGCTGGCTTCATCCTTTCTCTCCACGTGACCATACCACCTCAGCCTATGCCTCCTCAACACGATACCGACCCCCTCCACTCCAACTCTGATAACGCGATAATTGCAGCTTCATTTTTTTTCGTTCTATCGCAGCTCTCCATCCACACTGCCAGCACGTCTTTTCGCCCCTGCCTCCATCCTTCATTTCGTGGAGGCGGAGTTTGCACAACTCCTCCCCAGATACCTAGCCGCCAGCCATGAGGTCTTGGGTGCACATCCCTTCCGTCGACTGGACGTCCTGGTCATGCCCAAGTGCTTTGCCAGCCTCGGCCTTGCAAGGTAAATCCTGTTTTATGGGTCATTCTATAAATTTAGGGTCCATTTTTTTTTCCTGTTACATCTTGACATCTATGATTTCATAATTCTGATGCACTCCTTAATGCAGTCGTCCTCCAAGAGCGATTATGAATAGCAAGCTAACGACTCAACACACAAAAATTTGTTTGAAGTCATTCTTGATGATACTTGAATGGCAAATAACAAAATACCAAGGTAACAGGGACAGGAACAATGTCAGACTTCAGACCCTAATTTTACAGAATGACCCACATGCAAGTTTGACATCCTGGTAAATAAAGACATTTTCCTGTTGATTTTTTTGACTTGCAATTTTTTTTTTTTTTTTTTTTTTAGGACCTGTACAAACTCAAAAACTAGCTGTGTTGGAATCTGCCTCATTTCTTTAAGTTGTTCAAAAGTTAATGTTTATAATTGTTTTTTTTTGTACAAGTATATTCTTGGAAAAGGGTACTAGGGCGACAAACTTTCATAAGATCATTTTGGAATTTGGCCTGTTTCTGTAATTTTTTGTTTTGTTTTTGTTTTCTACCGTGACCAGTCCCAGCCTTGTATTTGTATCGCAAACCTTACTGCCCGGCGACCGTAGCTTCTGTCCCCGACTTGCCCACGAGATCACCCACGCCTGGTTTGGTCTGCTGATTGGAGCAGAAGACTGGACGGAAGAGTGGCTTAGCGAGGGATTTGCAACCTTCCTGGAGGATCCCATACACGGCTTAGCAGAGAAGGTGAGTCCCAGATCTGAATTGGTAGGATTCCATAGGATTTTGTAAGATTTTGCAGGATTGAGGTAGAAAGTCCAATCACTGTTAGTGTTGAAGTCAGGTCCGTCGCAAGTGTATCTCAAGTCTTCCATCCGATATCCTTCAAAATACACCAAATGGTTTTGGTGGATTTTATTTGAATTTCTTAGGGTTTTGTAGGATAGAGAGAGAAAGGTAGGGCACAGCCACTATCAGTGTTATAGTCAGGTCATCATAAGTCCTCACAAGTCCATCTCAACTCATCCTTCCCAGATCCTTCAAAATCTATCAGAAAGTTTTGTAGGATTTTGGAGCATTATGTTTTTTCTTTCTTTTGTTGATTGTTTTATTTACAGCTCTCAGAGAAACAGTTTAAGGACTGGTCCAACCTGAAGGCACTGATCCGCTTCAAGGTCCTCCAGCAGGAGTTGAGGAACACGTCGGCCGACTTGCAGATCATGAGACCCATGGCTGGCGACAACGCACTGAATCATGCTGGAGCGGGGAGCAATAAACCGGCCTACGTCAAGAATGGATTGAATCAGGACAAATGGTTCCAACAGGTGCATTACCTGAAGGTAAGAGGATTTTCTTTGAAGATCAGTTACACCATACTACACCACACAAATCAACTAACTAGTCAACTAACTAGTAAACTAAAAAAAATCAACCACACCAATTAAGAAACAAGTTAACAAAGAAATCAACCACACCAATTAAGAAACAAGTTAACAACACTAGTCAATTATTAGATTAGATTAGATTAGATTTTTGGAAGTTCTTTAACCAATTAAGAACACCAGTCAACGACCTGGTCAGCCACAGAGACAGCAAACTGTCAGCAGTACCACTTCGCGTACCTGTCCACTAACCAGTCAACTTCTTCAGTAAACACTGGTTAACATGCCAATCAATGGCATCACACAACTAGTCGGTTACAGCATTTAATTAATCCAGTCAACCACCGATATTTAATCAACACACCGTTTATCAACACTAGTCAACTAATCAGTCATCCACACCAAACAGCAACCCAGTCGGTTATTTTACCTAACTTAACACTTAATTTTTTTCAACTAATTAGTCAACAATCAACAACACAAGTTGGCAAGCAAATCAACCACACCAATCAACTGGCAAGTCAGTAAAACCATTTTACTAACCAGTGAACCACACCAGTCAACAAGCCAATCAACAACAGGGGTTCACTAATAACCGATCAACCAAACCAGTCAACCATGCCAGTCAACTAACCAGTCAACCACACAAGTCAACTAACCAGTCAATCACACCATTCAACTAACCAGTCAACCACACCAGTCAACTAACCAGTCAACCACACCTGTCAACTAACCAGTCAACCACACCATTCAACTAACCAGTCAACCATACCAGTCAACAAGCCAGTCAACCACATCAGTCAACTAACCAGTCAACCACACCAGTCAACTAACCAATCAACCACACCAGGCAACTAACCGGTCAACCACACTAGGCCACTAACCAGTCAACCACACCAGGCAACTAACCAGCCAACCAAACGATTCAACTACACCACTGTTGGCTGGTTGTAATGCTGAAACTTGATCACTGCTTGGTCTAATACTGTTTCATATTTCTCTCTTCGATCATAGGGGTACTTCTTTCTTCAGCATCTTTCACTCAAAGTTGGCTCGTCACAGTTACTGCGATTCATCAGATCATACGTCAACAAGTTCCGAGGTCAGCTAGTGCTAACGCAACAGTTCATCAATATGCTGTTTGAGACGTTTCCACAACTCCAGTGAGTCCGTAATGTTATTGACAGTCATCATGGTTTCATTGCTTTTTAGCCTGTCACGACAGCAAATTATAGTTATAATTCATGACGTCACAATCACTGCATCTTAATTGGTTTATCAAACTGAGTTACAGTGCAGTGGACATGTGACTGGACTTGTGACTGGACTTGTGGCTGGACTTGTGGCTGGACTTGTGACTGGACTTGTGGCTGGACTTGTGACTGGACTTGTGGCTGGACTTGTGGCTGGACTTGTGGCTGGACTTGTGGCTGGACTTGTGGCTGGACTTGTGACTGGACTTGTGACTGGACTTGTGACTGGACTTGTGACTGGACTTGTGACAGGACTTGTGACTGGACTTGTGACTGGACTTGTGACTGGACTTGTGACTGGACTTGTGGCTGGACTTGTGACTGGACTTGTGAATGGACTTGTGAATGGACTTGTGAACGGACTTGTGACTGGACTTGTGACTGGACTTGTGACAGGACTTGTGACTGGACTTGTGACTGGACTTGTGACTGGACTTGTGACTGGACTTGTGACTGGACTTGTGACTGGACTTGTGACAGGACTTGTGACTGGACTTGTGACTGGACTTGTGACTGGACTTGTGACTGGACTTGTGACTGGACTTGTGACTGGACTTGTGACTGGACTTGTGACTGGACTTGTGACAGGACTTGTGGCTGGACTTGTGACTGGACTTGTGACTGGACTTGTGACTGGACTTGTGACTGGACTTGTGACTGGACTTGTGACAGGACTTGTGACTGGACTTGTGACTGGACTTGTGACTGGACTTGTGACTGGACTTGTGACTGGACTTGTGACTGGACTTGTGACTGGACTTGTGACTGGACTTGTGGCTGGACTTGTGACTGGACTTGTGATGGATTTGTGACTGGACTTGTGATGGATTTGTGATGGACTTGTGACTGGACTTGTGATGGATTTGTGACTGGATTTGTGACTGGATTTGTGACTGGATTTATTACTGGATTTGTGACTGGACTTATGACTGGCCATGTGACTGGACTTGTGACTGGACATGTGACTGGACTTGTGACTGGACATGTGACTGGACTTGTGACTGGACTTGTGACTGGACTTGTGACTGGACTTGTGATGGACTTGTGACTGGACTTGTGATGGATTTGTGGCTGGATTTGTGACTGGATTTGTGACTGGAATTGTGACTTGATTTGTGACTGAACTTGTGACTGGATTTGTGACTGGATTTGTGACTGGATTTGTGACTGGACTTGTGACTTGACTTGTGACTGGACTTGTGACTGGACTTGTGACTGGACTTGTGACTGGACTTGTGGCTGGACTTGCGACTGGACTTGCGACTGGACTTGCGACTGGACTTGCGACTGGACTTGCGACTGGACTTGGGACTGGACTTGGGACTGGATTTGTGGCTGGATTTGTGGCTGGACTTGTGACTGGACTTGTGACTGGACTTGTGACCAAATTTGTTTCCAATTTATGCATGGCATCAATTAATTTATTTTTCCGTGATGTGTAGGGATAATGGTTTAAGCCCAGAGGTAGTGAGTTCCGAGTGGTTGGACTGTGCCGGTATGCCATCAGCTTTGAGAGCCGAGACTTTCAGTTGGGATAACAGCCTGGTAAAACAGGTGGAGTCGGAGGTAAGCAAACAAAAGCAAAAGCTGCAAAAGTCCTGGAAATTTGTCTTGATGTAGCAATGTGCTCTGCAATCAACCATGGTTTCACTAATTTATTGTTGTTTTTACTGTGACATTTCATACAAGCCACTATCTAAATAATGAATGCTTATTCAGTCAAGAAAAAAAAAGGACTACCAGGATGAGAATTATCTGAATTTAAACTGTTAAACAAATTATACGGGAAAAAATGGCCTAATCCACAGGCATGCAACTTTTCCTCGGTTCCGCAGATTTCCTCGTTTTTTACTTCTCATGAATGCCATTACAAATTGAAAAATACTGTACAAAGTCTTGTGTGGTTTGGAGTTTCCTCGTTTTTTCTAAATTCCCAGTTTCATGCCTGAATTCAAAGTTTTAAAATATGTGGTTGGTCAAATGCGTCGTTTGATTACATATGCTGAGCAGTTGCATCAGAGGTGGGTCATAGATCATTTGAGAATCTTCTTTTCTTTACCATCATTCTTGCACCTAGTCTTACAAGCCCTAACTTTTCCTCTGATCTTGAAAAAAAAAGGCAAAGTTAAGTTTCACCTGGATCCAGTTTTATGGAGATGCTAAGCAGAAACCAAATAGCTTAGCAGATTTGGACATTCTGAGCAAAAAAATAGTCGGAGAATCAGTCACAAGGAGTGCGTAGTGAGTGTGTAACGTACATAGTTGGTGACCAGTTTTTCGCTAAGCAAATGTTGTTCTGGGCAAATTTCTATTCTAAGCGGAAATATTCTAAGGAGATCAGTTAAAATGATCCCTGACCATTATGTTTTTGTACCCTCTATCGCCAGTGCAATAGGTGGCTGGCTTTAGACAAGGCCAACCGGCACGGCGGCAAGCCACAGAAGCGTAAACACACGGGGGCGCTCTTGGCCAAACTGACGGACCCCACCAACAAGAGCTGGGCCAAGCTCAGCCCCGACCAGCTGGTCCTCCTGCTGGAGATACTCATCGAGAGCGGTCACCGACTGACCGCTAAGACCATGCAGCAACTCAAGGAGACCTACGGACTGGTCAAGCAGAACGCCGATGTCCGACACCGCTGGTGTGAGATGGTCATCAGGAATCGCTTCATGGATGGCTACGGGGATATCAGGATATTTCTGCTAGAAGAACAGGTGGATAGTTAATTGATTTAGCGATTCATTGTAATTTTACCTGAGGAGCCCCATCAGTGTTCAGTGCACTGTTCTCCCTAAGGGCCCTGAGGTACACGTATACAGATTTAAAAAATTTGAAGAAAAAGAAATATACATGCCTTTCACTGTTGTAGTGCATGTAAATGCATTGCACATTCAGCAATTTGCCTGTGAAAATAATTTTCATGTCTTCTGCTGGTAAAAGGTAATAAAATCAACCATTATGGTTCATCATGCTATTAGTTTTCCCTTACTTTGTTGTCATGATACAAACGTTGATATTTCTATTTCCCTGTTTGGGATGCCAATCCATCCCAGGTTACTCCCTAGCTGATCCCGGTGCATATATTTGTGCTTCTTGGTAGAAAGAAGCAAGTGGGGATAAAGTAACTTGCCCAAGGACACAACAAATGTTCAGGAATAATTTTTTTTCTTCAATCCTGGCCTTTTGATAATAAATCACTAACCCTACACACCAAACCGCACATCTCCACTGCAAAGAGACAATGCTTTCAATCATCTTAGACACAACTGCAAAAGAAAATCTACAATGTGCAACGTGCGTTGTTTCTAATATTATTTCTCAACTCTGTTTTGCGCCTTGAATAATATTTTCTTGTTTTTTAATTTCCATACAATGCGCTTATATTACTTTTCCAAATACTTTTTTGTGTGCCTTAAAATAAATTAATCTTGTTACGGAGACTGATATGAATCATATTTTTCTCTTGATTTTCTATTGATTCTATTTCAGTTATTTTGTTGATTACACAAATGACAATTCTGTTGACGGACTATCGGTATGTCCTGTGATTACAACCTGACCCGTAGTTTGTTGCTTTGCTGTTTATCCATGGGTGTGTCCTCCTGTTTCTTATAGTCTAGTGGTTACTAGCGCCTTGAGCACCTAGTTGTCGGTAGATACGTTCGCTATATAAGACTCCAGTATTATTACACTTATCAACCCACATTGGTTTTTTCCCGTTGACAGTCGATGGGCGTGTACCTGTACGGTGAGCTGATTGCAACGCGGGACCCCGTCCAGAGACTTGTAGCCGAGGCTTGCCTGCAGGCCGTGGAGAGCGAGATGGATCCGGGATGCCTGCTCAAGGTGCAGAAGATGCTCTTTGGCGAAACGTAAGACTCCTTACAAATATCACTTCGACCGTGTTTTCTTTACAAGTAGAGGGCGCTGTTCGAAAATTAAGGCTCGTCACAAGCATCAATTTCGCTGTTTGTTTATCCATTACCAGTCCGTTGCCATTTGGAGATCCCGCATTTCCGTTGCCCATTCAAAAGCGCTGGTGATGGCAAGTGACAAGTATCTATTTTGACTGTATTTTGTTCACTAATAGAGGGCGCTGTTCTGTTGCCATTTTGAAGGTCACTCCGACCCGCCACCCATCACATGGCGCTGGCTGATTGCTTATTTCTTTCACAATTTTATTTTGAAAAAAAAAATGCACAGTAGCTGACTACCATGACTAAGACACTTAAGATATGAACACACACTGTGCACATGCGTGTTAAACAGAGTTGAATGTTGGTCACTCATCAGTCAAACATAATCTTTTATACAATGTCTGAAAAAAAATCCCCGTCATCTGATTGGTTCCTCCCAACCCACGGTGGGGCCGCACCACAAAAATAGAAGTTCCAGTCCCCAGTAAGTCGAAGTTTAATTGCATGGTCACACTATTACCAATCAGATGACGAGGATTTATTCAGGCGTTGTACAAAAAAAGTAATAAATGTTTTCACATTCGTGCAATGGAAAGATTAATTTTATTCGGTGACAGATGGAATGTTCCATTCCATGACAAGAAGCAGAGTGGAATGGAACATTCCATCTGTCACCTCATGAAATTATTCTTGCCGTTGCACTTATAAACATTCATTATTTGTATACAGTTTCAATGAAATTAGAGGTCTGTAGCGCAAATATATAGTTTAGGTGGTTACGAGCGAAAGTAGTAGTAAACACAGTACAGAAATATGCACTTGTAAGACCTGGAAGTACATCTCAGTTGAAATAAGTTTTAAACTATTTTTTTATTTGCACAAATAGCCAAATAAAGTATGAGTTGATTGTCTACTCCAAAATGACATTGAACGGTACTGTCAACTGCAGAAGCTAATGGATAAAAACACGGCTGGTTTTTCGAGCAGTTAAATCAAAGTTGCTGACCACTATGTTGCTATTAAGCAAAGAATAAGGTAACCGGCCAAAAGCGCCATACATTGTGTTGCAGCTTCTGGCCGGTTCCCTGAAATTTGCATAACCGGACAACTTGAAATGTGATGCATTCAGCTTAGCGGTTCTGTGCAGTTGGGACCAGTCAAAAATCACTTGATGTATGTTGCTTAAACCGGTTCACGGCGTTGTTTTGCTAAGTCCCAAAACAATTGATCAAGCAAATGACAAGTTGGGAGAAAATCGCTCTACATGTTGCCAGCTAGTAAGCATGATCTTCAATAGATTCGTTGTACATTCTCTGCTTTTAACTTGAAATAAATAGTTGATCGTTTGTTCAGTATCTGCTTTATTTTTTTTTAAGTTTTAAAAACTCAGTAATTTGTGAAATCTGTCTGAAAACACATCTCAGCCTCCACATATCTTTTATTTTTTTAAAATTGACAAAAATTATTTGTGCTGAAAGCTTTGTTTGCTGTTGGACTGATTTGATCATTGCTTCAGCACGGTGAAACAGTTGGTTTCTATTTGGTACAATTTTCTTTTTAAATGAATGCGCTCTTAACCCCATAGCTCTTGAGCCGCCCCAAACTGCCCCGCCTGTTACTCCTCATACCGCCCCAGCCCGCCCCAACACTCTATGGTTTTGATTCACGGAGGAGTAAATACAATGTAATACAAATTATTACAATTGCTAAAGGGTTATTTTTTAATTTTTTTTTTAATAGGAAAAGCTGAATGTCTATTTGAAATTTTAAAAATGAAACAGGAAATTTTAACAAACTCAAATACAAATTTTGATTTTTCATATTCTCAAAATTTACTTGAAGTCGACTGTCAGTAACTGAAAAAAAATACTGGAAAGATTCAGTTTGCTTTTAGTAATTATTTGCATGGCTTGAAGATAATTATTGATGAGGTTAATCCAAATATGATTAGGTTACAAAAGATTGCAAGAAAGGGAAGCGTTCCATTTCAGGTGTTCTAATTTTAGGAAAACAGTTGCCAGCTAGCGTAAAAGAAGTTATTTTTTAATGAAAGGCTTTCAATATTTATAAGAATTTATTTTTTAAATGAGACTGTCTCTCCACTATTAAAGGACGGACGATTTTGAAACAAATATTTAGAGGACGGATATCAGCAATTATTTCAAAAAGAAAAAGACAATGTTTCAAAAATACAAAGCAGCTAAGATAAACAATAAATTTTACCGTAGTTGACAACTTCATAGAGTTTTTAAAATACTTTTTAATTGATATTTTAGACTTTGATGTAAACATTTATTTTTCTTTATTTATTCCTTTTTAGATTCAGGGTTCGAGAAAGAGCCCAATTTTTGTTATTATTTCAACTGCGTGTTTAGCGATCATAAACGAGTATGCATTATTATTTTAGGTGGAAAATTGTAAAATTTTAATAGCAAGAATATTCATTGATCAGCATCTCTGAAGCAGATTAATGTGTTGTGTTTCTTAACTCCAGTGAGGCTAATCGAACCATTATTAGGGACTTTAGGGTTTAGCTGCAAAATCAATTCATTTGTGAATTTCCTAGAACTCCTTCTTTTTCCGTTCTTTTTTAATTTTTTTTTTTAAATAAAAGTAGCTTGATTCTTAATGTGTAAATAACTGAAATATACATGTATGATCTTTGAATGATGTGTATCGATGGAGGCACTATGTAACAGTTTTTATTTCTACCAAAATGTAAAATCTAACTATTAGTATATCTCTCCTACACAAACTTAAAATACACTGTACAGGTTGCTTTTTATCCACGTTATATTTAGATAATAATGGTCACAAGAATGTCAGTGTAGTCCTAAATTATACACATTTGGAAACTTTGTCCCTCGACTTTCTACCTTTAGAGTAGCAATTTCTGGGTAGTTCACACCGAAGGTGAACTAAAGGACTATTATTTCTAATAATTGGTGAACCCTCCCCCGGTAAAAAACAAGCTGCCTGTTCATTTTTCAGTCTTGAATGAGTCCGACAAACATGGATATTTGCCTGAATAATCTCCAGTTTGTGAGACAAAATAATCAATCATTTAACCGTCTTCCTTTGTAAATATGTAAATATTCATTGCCCGGAAAACTGTACATAAAACTCTGATGATCTTGAATTGTATAAGCTGCGCTCGAATAAGACAAAATAAGGTGTTTTTTGTTTTAGTTTTCACATCGCAACCAAAATTGCCAAGCAAATTTTGGAAGCAAATTCATAAATATTGATTGTTTCAAAAGTATTTATTAATGAAGATACGTTGCACTCGCAGTAAAACAGTAAAATGGTCAGTTTAATTTGAAATGGTGTGTCTCGTGGTGTTTGGAAAAAGTTTTCAAAGATACTTTTTTTTTAGTTGGAATGTTACCTTGTGCTTAGTGTTTTGCAGTTTAGACCTTGTTGTGTTGGTGATGTTGAATTAATATTTTTCTTTGTTCAGAGCAAGTAAACATGCTTAAGTCTATGCTAAATAACTGAAACCACATTTCAGAGTTGGTTGACCGAATCGATCCTGCATGAAACGTCTGTGGGTCTTACACCTAGATATGCACTTTTTTTAAACAAACAAAGAAATTGAAATATTTGTGCCAGCGATTTGTCATGAATGACCCGCACCTTCATTACTTAGCTGATATTCTGATGTCTTTTAAGGGCCAGGGCATGTTTCAAAATGCCTCCTACATTTTGCAATGGACCTACCCCATGTTAGATGTCTTTCTGTGTTACAGTGACGTTGAAAATACTTGTGGTTTTTCATTTCTGTAATCGGAAAAGAAGCACAGAATAAAAGGTACATCAGCACCCGTTAATGTGACATGCATGATTTTTTTTTAAAAGTCATAGCATATTTTACATGTTGAACTTTGACCTTAGCATTACAATTCAGTTTGCTTCACTGTGGACACAAAAAGAGGGCGCTATTTGGAGTGTAGCACCCTCCTTTTGTGTCTGCCTGAACATATCACGAAAAGACTAATAATAGACCAGTGTACAACTTTAACTAACGTTGATCTTTTATGTTGAGAATTTCTTGTTGAGCTGTTAAAATATAATTCATACACTGACTTTTTTTTAAGTTGCTTTCTCCTTGCTGTTTTAGAGTTTTATCTCAAAAAATTGATGTTTTTAAAAAATTAACAAAAAGGTTGCTTCTCTGTTTAAGAGATACAAATTGAAAATTTGTTAGGAGAACCAAATCAAATGTTAAATATCACAAGTAGAGGAATTTTGTGGGATATTAGGAAAAAATGCCGATCCCAACAAGCATTAATTTAAAATCTTGCATCTATGAGATGAACAGTGCAAAACGTTCTTGACTAGTTTGCATTTTAATCCAACTTATTACTAGTTTAACTTATGCCAAAAAGTAGTAATATAAGCAGTTCTCACATGCTAGTTATTGTAGTAGATGCGCGTTCACCTAGTTCCAAATAAGTTTTTGAATCTACTGCATGTGTTAAAGTATTTTTCTATGCTAGTTTAGCATCCAACAACGTACAGGACAAATACTTTGCTTTTTAAGAAACTCTCAGTGTTTATTTTTTAAACCATTGTATATAGTTTACATAAAAAAAGCTCTTTTGTAATAATATAATAATTTAAAGTATTCAATTTGCCAAAGGCATCAAAATTAAACGAATGAATGACGAGAAAGATGAATGCATCCATTGTACATTAGCCAGTAATATGTATAACCAGTATGCGAATAAAAAAACGTGTGATGTTATTATCCGTAGGTTGATTTGGAATCGTAGTCACAGTATTTAGTCGTAAAATGATTGTGCACTTTCAACACTTGTAAATACTATCAAAGGCTTAGTAAATGCAGTTGCGTTGCATTTTTTTTTTAATGTTTATGTTGTCCACACGAGACTTATTAAAACAGTCATATAACTAAGAAAGGTTTCATTGTCTCGTTCAGTGTTGTCCGAATTTCCGTCATTTTGTTGAACCATATAAGGTTAACCTCTTGCAAACTGTTCTTTTGTCGGGAAAATTGAATATAATTAAAATGAAAACATACACATTTTGATTATATTTCCAAGGTTAACCCCTTGCAAAGTTAATTTTCGGGGATTATCAAAACATGCAAATTTTGATTATACTTACAAGGTTAACCCCTTGCAAAGTTAATTTGTGGGGAATTATCAAAACGTGCTCATTTTGATTATATTTCCAAGGTTAACCCCTTGCAAAGTTAATTCGTGGGGAATTATCAAAACATGCTCATTTTGATTATATTTCCAAGGCTAACTCATTGCAAAGTTAATTTGTTGGAAATTATCAAAATATGCATATTTTGATCAACTTTGCAAGAATATAACATTAGAAATACATTTTGTGGGGAATTATCAAAACATGCAAATTTTGATTCTATTTACAAGGTAAACCCTTTGCAAAGTTAATTTGGTGGGTGTTTTCAAATATGCAAATTTTGATTATTTTTATAAGGTTAACCCTTTGCGAAGTTAATTTGGTGGGTGTTTTCAAAATATGCAAATTTTGATTATATTTATGAGGTTAACCCCTTGCGAAGTTAATTTGGTGGGTGTTTTCAAAATATGCAAATTTTGATTAACTTTGCAAGAGTATAACCTTAGAAATACATTTTGTGGGGAATTATCAAAACATGCAAAATTTGATTATATTTCCAAGGCTAACCCCTTGCGAAGTTAATTTGTGGGGTATTTTCAAAATACCATGTGTATGTAAATATTGGTTATATTTACAAGGTTAAACCCTTGCGAAGTTAATTTGTGGGGTATTTTCAAATATGCATATTTTGATTAACTTTGCAAAGGAATAACCTTAGAAATATATTTTGTGGGGAATTATCAAAACATGCAAATTTTGGTTATATTTACAAGGTAAACCCCTTGCGAGGTTAATTTTTTGGGGAATTATCAAAACATGCAAATTTTGGTTATATTTACAAGGTAAACCCCTTGCGAGGTTAATTTTTTGGGAATTATCAAAACATGCTCATTTTGATTATATTTCCAAGGCTAACTCATTGCAAAGTTAATTTGTTGGAAATTATCAAAACATGCAAATTTTGATTATATTTCTTAGGTTAACCCCTTGCAAAGTTAATTTTTGGGGAATTATCAAAACATGCAAATATTGGTTATATTTACAAGGTTAACCTCTTGCGAAGTTAATTTGTGGAGAATTATCAAAACATGCAAATATTGGTTATATTTACAAAGTTAATTTTTGGGGAATTATCAAAACATGCAAATTTTGATTATATTTACAAGGTTTACCCCTTGCGAAGTTAATTTGTGGGGTATTTTCAAAATATGCATATTTTGATCAACTTTGCAAGAGTATAACCTTAGAAATACATTTTGTGGGGAATTATCAAAACATGCAAATTTTGATTCTATTTACAAGGTAAACCCTTTGCAAAGTTAATTTGGTGGGTGTTTTGAAAAAAAAAAATTTGATTATATTTATAAGGTTAACCCTTTGCGAAGTTAATTTGGTGGGTGTTTACAAAATATGCAAATTTTGATTATATTTATGAGGTTAACCCCTTGCGAAGTTAATTTGGTGGGTGTTTTCAAAATATGCAAATTTTGATTATATTTATAAGGTTAACCCTTTGCAAAGTTAATTTATGGGGTGTTTTCAAAATATGCAAATATTGGTTATATTTGCAAGGTTAACCCCTTGCAAAGTTGATTTGTGGGGTATTTTTAAAGTATGCATATTTTGATTAACTTTGCAAGGGTTTAACCTTAGAAATATATTTTGTGGGGAATTATCAAAACATGCAAATTTTGATTATATTTACAAGGTTAGGCCCTTGCAAAGTTAATTTATTGGGAATTATCAAAACAGGCAAATTATTATATTTACAAGGTTAACCCCTTACGAAGTTAATTTGAGTTGTATTTTCAAAATATGCATATTTTGATTAACTTTCCAAGGGCATAACCTTAGAAATATATTTTTGTGGGGAATTATCAAAACATGCAAATTTTGATTCTATTTACAAGGTAAACCCTTTGCAAAGTTAATTTGGTGGGTGTTTTCAAATATGCAAATTTTGATTATATTTCCAAGGTTAACCCCTTGCAAAGTTAATTTGTGGGGAAAACAGTAGCCGGAAATAAAGATACAGTTTTTACTAATGTCACTCGGCAATCAACTTGTGAAAAACACATAGTAATTTTAATAATTATTCTCTCTTTAATAAAATTACATTTTTATTTTGAATTTACACAAACGGACAAAAATGATGTATGAAACCACTGATACTGCATGGAGGTCAAACAAATCAAACTATGATGAAAAAAGTAAAGCTACTGAAAAAAATACACAAAATAAAAAAGCTACCATAATGAACGACCCAATGTGCTTCCTATACCAACCAAAACAGAATAAAAATGCAGCCTGCAAACTTAATATACAGCCATGCAACTGGAAAGTCACACAAAAAAAGAGGAAATTCAAATCTTTCCCAGACTTTGTACAGTGTTTTTCTATTTTCAATGACACACATGGGAAGTAAAAAAGAGGAAATCAGCTGATCTGAGGAAAAGTTGCATGCCTGAATATAATCACGAAAAGCATTTCCTTTTTTTTTTTACAATTCAGTTCTTTTTCTAGATTTCCTTTCACTAGATCATAACATTATTTTGTAATAATACAATAAAGGTCCGCTTTGACATCTTTACGAAACAGTTTATCTTTTAGCAAAACATCTCAAACTTTGTCTCACAATAACACATTTTGACAGTATCATTTAAAGTTGTTCACCCCGTACAATGTTTGAAGTTCACCCTGTTAACCAGTTCGCGCCAGAGATCGTGAAAACAGGCACTGCTGACAAGTTAAGACATCTAGATTGCCTCGCCTCACCCTGGGGTGACGTCTAAACATGCTAATCTCTCGTGCCTTTTGTACACACACACACACAAAGTCCATGAAGTCTGTGGAGGCAGACCACATGCTGACCGCTGTGTGGGCCGTTTCACAATGTACGTTCCAGTGCACACCCCAGAGTTTTGAAACATATGAGGTTTCGGCAAGAAATATCGTACAAATACTGTTGAAATCACTCTTGTGAATCAGTGTTTGTGGAGTTGTATATCAGAAGTTGGCTAGTAAACTGTGCCTTTTGAAACTGTCGAAATTTTCGGCAAAAGTAAACCTGGCGCGAAGTGGTTAAAAACAGGCTGAACGTGTCCAAAATAGAAACTGTAGTTTTTCCATTTAAATATAACAAATCAAAAAGGTTTATAGAAAACCTACAGCTTCAATTGTAACAGGATATTTTTGCCTATGATCGAAACACGTCAGGTCCTCTAAACTGGTTTGGCTGTAACATGATATGCTTTTCCCTACATACTATTTTACATTGTGTACATATATGAGTTTGAATGCAATTTATTTAAGCGCAGTGCTGTTTTCACAATACTGTCACTGCGGGGGGCTCTTCATCATCTTCAGGTTCAGTGTCGTCGACAACCGGATGAAAAGCCGGGTTCCTGCACAAAGAATAAACAATAAAAACACGATGACAAAACTCACTGGAGGGTTTGAAGTGAACAGCGCCCTCTGTTGACTGCTAACGGCAGTCAATTTGTGGTGTTAGTAATTTTGCCCATTTCAAGATGTGTCAATTTATTGGGTGAATTCAAGTGAGTGAGTTTATCACGCATCAAAGTTAAAAAAAAAAAATTAAATTAAAGTCAGTTAAAATTTAACATAGAACTGACTACTTTTTATCATTAATTGAATGAAGTTTTTTGGGGAGAGATCTAGAAATCTAGAAATCGTGTTTTTTTTTCCAATATGATAAAAAAACAATTCTGCAATTACATGTATGCACAAGATTTTTCTGTAGCCTCAGAGCAGAAAATTTTTCTTACCATGTGCCATCCGATCCAAATGACGTTGGCCTGAAATCGTCATGTTCATTTCCACCACGAGTCCGCTCATCTAGAAGGCAACAGAAAATTTTTAAGTGAAAATAATTACAGAGGTATTACAGTTACAACTAGAAAGCACTCAGAGAGCGCAAACCTCCACCAAGGCTAAACAATTCCCGCCATATTGCCAGTACACCCAATAGAAATACTCGCATAAATGGTGGAGAATCCTTAAAAGAAATCCTGGATCCAGACCCAGATCCGGATCACTTCCAAAATCTAATCGATTTGTACTTGTAGCAAGGACCACCCTAAAAAAAACTTTCATGCAAATCCGTCCATAACTTTTTGAGTTATCTTGTTAACAGACAAACCAACCAACAAGCAAACTAACCAAATCCCATGAATACATAACCTCCTTGGCGGAGGTAATAAGTTACAAGTATTTCAGCAATCCTACCTTTTTTCGCACTTTGTTTGTCTTGGCTGCTCTTCCCACTGAAAAGAAAAACAAAAAGAGATTTAAACTGTTAGACTATGAACTAATTTCCTGATATCTGATCCAACAAAATCTATCACAGAAAACCAAGGCCAGATCCATTTTACTTAAACATTGGAAATCAGGCTTAGTGTACAATACCAATAGCTTAGTGCATAGTCCCTTATCTATCATAATCAAGCAAAACCAGTTATGACAGTTTTGGTAAAAAAATACTAACATTCCCCCCAAAAATCAGTAAACATTAATCTAAAAAGTAGAGTAAATTCCCTGATTTCCCTTGGCGGGTAAGGGCACCACTTCAATTTAGTAGTAAAAAGTAGTAGAAACATTTATTTCAATGTTGCCATTTCCACACAATAAAATGTTACAATGCCGTGTAAACATATTATACAGAGCAAAATGCAAGGAGTTATGTAATTGTGTATAATAATGTACATGGATCAATACTAGAACAAATTTACGACAACATTTAGGTATAAGGTGAAGCGTCACGCTTTTGTACCCTAACCTATCGACAGACAAGTGGACATGACCGAGAAAAACAGAGACAGTGACAAAGGACAAAATGGACAACAGTGAGACACACAAAGACACAACCTTTAACACTAGTAAGCAGGAGGTCATGGGTTCGAGTCCAACCCGAGTATGCTTTTGAATTTTTCGGACAACATTGAGTACACAGTCTTTATTAAATACATCCGTGATGTGCAAAACCCAATTCTGATTTTGCATCTCCCCGACAGACAAATTTCAAAATAGATTATCTTATAAATACTTCAACTCCACACTTCACAATACAGCAGCTTACCATCCGAAAACGCCAAGGCCAACCAGAACGAGCATCAACAGCGCCCCCACAGCGATGACGGCAATCACCCAGTCCTCCAGGCCCGAGGGCGCCGCTGAAGGCTCCGGTGTCACAGCTCGTTGCAGTTTATACTCGAATGACTCTCCCATACTGGTTTGGAAATACTCGCTCTCCGACGTCACGGCCGCGATTACCGTGTCGGGGTTCAGAGGTGCCTTGGGGTCGGCCCAGGTCGCGTCCCGCACCCAGGTCACGATGTGAAGGTCGCTGTCGACGTTGTAGAAACTGACGAAGACCACATCAGAGGCACTGCGACAAAACATAGACTTAAGTATTTTGAGATTTGTGACATTGGCATCAAAACTGATCGTGGCTTCTAAGAACATGTTTGACTTCCAAACTCAAGTTCAGTGACCATGATGATAGAGTCTTATTTGTGGGTGACGGTAGCCGATGAGGGCATCACAGTGTCCGTGTCCTTTGGCAGGACACTTTATCACAATTGCTTCTCTCCACCCAGGAGTATCAGGGGAGTCACGTTGGCGTAGCGGTGCTTTCCTCGCCTTCCACCGCTGTGACCCGGGTTCGAATCCCGCCTGGGCCAATATGTGGATTGTGTTTTCCGTCCCTGCCTGATTACGTGGGTTTTCCCCAGAATATTCTTCTGGGCTTTTTCTTCCACCTCTAAAACTGTAACTTCTTCTCATTGTCTTATCTTCATTTATCCATCCTGTTATTGGCGCTTGCGCTGTTGGATGTGGCTGAAATAAAAATACTGCTGAACATAGAGAACTAAAGGTTGCAGTATTGCAATATTGAACTGAAGCATAAAACATTTGATCTCCTGGCTTGATGACAGAGGTAATAATTGTAAAAATCTCTACAATATTTGTGTGAAGCATCCAGCATCAAACAGTCAGCCCCTGCTAGACTTACTCAAAGTCTCCTTGTTGTCTGGTTTCTGTCTGTCCTGCGACATTGTATCGATTCAAGACCTCTGCGATGGTGGATGCGAGCTGGACTTGATTCACGGCGTCAAACTGGAAATAACAACCAGAAGATTCTTCATTGCTAATGCGTGGTGAAATAACAACTATGGACTGTTGCAACAGACCCAGTTCTAAGTTTAGAACGGTAATTATTTACTGAAGAGCTTAAAATGACATCAGACATTTGGCATTTTTGTAAGCGTCTGCTCAAGCTCTTGTGACTGGTCATGCAACCCATCTACTGTTCTCACACAAAGTCCACATAAATTGCAAAACAGATTTGACCCTAGAGGCTAAAGCTTACTCACCCATCCCACGTTCTGGTTGAAGACGACAAAAAGGACGGAATCAGTTGCTTTGTAAACTGGAGTTGTCGGTGGCTCACCTTAAAAAAAAAAAAAAAAAAACGAAAGATAAATACTGATTGAGATCTCAAAACCATTCTCAACACATTATTTATTCATCTGGCAATGCAGGAGGTATTGCACATTCCCTTCACCCTCCGACGCAGAAAGCCCATTTAGTAACACACTTACAGTAAGGGGTCCCCCGGGGACCCAAATATTTAGCGCCACGGTTTGAGGCTACACAACACTGTATCCACATGAACACAATCTTGCCATGTCTGTAGACTAAGGAGGTGTATTTGTATACATAGTCTGTGGTCAAGCCGTGCACTGTCTACTCGCAAGTGACCTTGTTTGTGCACGTGTATATGGTGGGTCCCCGGGTGGGCAGAAATTGCGTCGGAGTTGTTTTGTGCGCGTGTATATGGTGGGTCCCCGGATGGGCAGAAATTGCATCGGTCCTTAGCCCAGGTTGTCATGCTCAGATATGCCTGACCCGGGTCACACACTAAAGGTGACTGCATATATCCGTAGAGGGTGTCTCTTGCTAGGATTAGATGGAAGATCACCAGAATTGGTTTGAATTTTTTTTTTTTATTAAGGTAATTAACCAAATTGGGTCCCCAAAAGGGCTAGATTCTGCGCCGGAGGGTTAATTAGTACCTCGCCCGCAGGAAGGTGGCTTTGAAGGCAAGTCCCCCGCTTCGCAGTTAATTGACACAGATAATAGACTAAACGTGACAGAATCAACAGAGAATTACGCTTCAAAACACGTGTGGGGAGGCGGCTTTGCAGGCAAATCACCTGCCTCGCAGTTAATTGACACATTCAACAGAGAATGAAATTTAAGTGACAGAATAAAGTAAACCAGAGAAACCACACTCCCCCTTCCCCCTCCCCCCCCCCCCTGATGATATCTTACCAGCCTTGGATGTAAACATTGCCCTGAACCCTTGGCCTGACTGACTCTCATCTGATATGAAATGTAACCACATCTCATGGGTTGGACTCATAACAGTCCGTGAATCGTGCTGTCCTGTCAGCCACTGCAGTATGTTCTCATTCACCGTCAGACCGGAACCGATGACCAAGAAATCCTGACTGCAAATGAAGAAAAGTAAAAGCCAAGAACACAGTCAGCGAGTTCTATTGTTTGCAGAAAAGATAACAGTTAGGATATTTAGACAGCTCTACAATTAGTGAGATGGGATTTTTGCATCGGGGTGATGTAAATCAAATTAGGTTTTGCCCTTCACCGACGTATAAACACTGTATACTCAGTGTGTTACCTCTTGAGTGAAAGTTGAAAAAAATCACTTGGGTGGGACTCGAACCCACGACCTCCTGCTTTCTAGTACAGATGTCTTACCACTCGACCACCGAGCTAACGGGATCGGTTGGCTGGTTCGAATCTAATGTACATAGTAGCAGGTACCGCATTAACTATAAATGAGATGGGATTTTTGCGTCGGCGGGTGATGTAAATCAAATTAGGTTTTGCCCTTCACCGACGTATAAACACTGTATACTCAGTGTGTTACCTCCCGAGTGAAAGTACCCACTGCTATACATCAGATTCGAACCAGCCAACCGATCCCGTTAGCGCGGTGGTCGAGTGGTAAGACATCTGCACTAGAAAGCAGGAGGTCGTGGGTTCGAGTCCCACCCGAGTGATTATTTCCAACTTTCACTCGGGAGGTAACACACTGAGTATACAGTGTTTATACGTCGGTGAAGGGCAAAACCTAATTTGAGCTCTACCGATGTTGTAATTACACATGATAATACTTGGCTGGTGTGGACTCAAAAGCCAAATGAAGAAAACGTCTCAACAACTGAATTAACAAGCTTGCCAAAAAGCTGGCCGTGACCAGTCAATTGGAAATCAGTCTTACTCTCTTTCCAGATCGAATGTGGTGAAGCTGAGCTCGACGAGAGCCATCTTGTCCAGCAGACTGATCGTCCAGACGCAAGCGGCGTTATTCGGGTACGGTTTGGAATCTAGGAAATTAGGCGAGGTGATCGTTCCACTTGGAAGATCCGTGAAGGCTCTGCCACAATCCTCCACTGAAACAGCAATAAAGAAGTTCTTAAGCAAGACATTTTACCATGATTTACTTATTTGTTAGTTTTCTTTAATATTTCATTTATTGTAATAATATTGTTCAGGGCTCGTTTTGACATTGTTCTCTCACACTACTAGTCTCAGATACAGCATAATTCATGAAATCCTAAAAGACAAGTTCTTTTAGAACTTAAAACAGGACTGTTCTTATCAGAACTAAAAAAACAACACAGCGAAAGTTGATAATAAGCAGGCATGTTCTTATCAGAACTAAATATCTACTGAGCGACAGTAATTATTACCGCATGGTGTTACCGCAAACCGAAATGATACTGATACTCCATCATGCAAAGCCTAAAATCTTACATCATGAAGACTTATTATGAACATTGAAAATTGTGTTCTTGCGCAAGATAATTTACCCCAATTCTTTCTCTATGAGATGTACATCTGTGATCACTATTTTATCCCATGCATTGTTATGTTCTGTAAATTTGGGTTTTCAATGCTTTTAAACCGTACAAGATCTGGAGTAAACTTGAGGAGTAGTTAAGCAAGAATAAGCTAAGCAAATAAACAGTTTTTTAAAAGTTGAACAAGATAATTGACTGGAGCGGGGTTTGAACCTGCGACCTCCGAATTGCCGTTCCGGTGCTCTACCAACTGAGCTATCCAGCCCTATGTTGGTGGTTCACCATTTCGTCAATGTCTTTGTTCAAGGGGCGCTAGTCAGAAGCCATAAAACTGTTTATACCATGTAGCCAGGGATCACGCCCCAATGTCACAATGCTAGCAACATTAGCAATGCTGCAAACCTGGGAAATAGCAGACAGGGATCACTCATAGAGGATACGGCTGATCTGTCAATATACAATTCACAGATCATGTACTTTCAACATTCTGAAATCCGCTAACCTATTACTCCCTGTACTGCCCAAAACTGCCCCAGCATGGGTTAACAGATTTATCAGGGAATGACTATCATGTAAATACAATGTAATATTATGTAATACAATGTAATACAATGTAATACAAAGAAATACAATGTAATACAATGTTATACATCTTAACATACCAGGGCCATCGTCCAGTTTTTCAAATGTGACTGAGAATCCCTGTGCGGTGATGGTCGAGTCGGTGATGAATCGCAGCCACATTTGGTTGAATTGACTCTCTAGCGTCCCAACGTTCTCTTTGTGACCGGTGTACCGCCCCAGCTCGTTGACGCCCGATGTTGCCCCAGAACCGACGGTCAGATAGTCACCGCTGGGGTCGAGACGGATGGAGACAATCGTCAAGAGAACGCGGCCGGGTTTGGTGACGGTGATGGTCCATGTGATGTCCTAGAGGATGGCAATTGCAAATGACAGATTTAATCTCTGTGGGTCATTTTTTTAATTTGAGTCCACTTTTTTCCTGTCCATCTGACATCCATGATTTTATAATTCTGATGCACTCCTTAATGCAGTCGTCCTCCAAGAGTGACTATGAATAACAAACTACTACCCAACAAATAAAATACCATTTTGAAGGCATTCTTAAGGTTAGATCATTTGCCATTTGTGCAATGTTTTTGTTTGAAGCAACAAAAGTGCTCAAATCTAAAGAAGGGTGCTTAACAACTTATCCGATGTTTTAGATCAGTGGAAACAATATCCTAGGATCTTGATTTCAAATCAAAAGTTGCTGAGTCATGTTTTGAATTGTGCCCAAAATCAGCGTCCGGGACATGCTCTCATTTAGCCGATTGCAGCTACTCGATGTCACGCACCAAACTGACAAATAATAGCAATCAGCACGTGGGTGCGGGCCCACATCCATTCACAGATTCACCAAATTGCAAACCAAATAAGTAATGGAAATTTCCCAAAATGCATCTTCTGATAGACGCGTCTTTGGAAATGGCCTTCTTTTATCGTTTTCTTCAAAATGCATGTCAGAAAGAATAATTTTACAGAAAGTTAATTAGTGCCATTACTATCTTTAAACCAAGTACGCTTTTCAACAATAATTTTTTTAGTTACTTTTTGGATAGCTACAAATTCTACTCCTACATGTTTTTTAATGATACCTGCATGGCAAGGTAACAGGGACAAAAAAATGTTCCGAAACTGGTCTCTAAATTATCCACAAGACGACAGTGGCGTACTCTACATTCAGCAGCAGTGAAATAAATAAACACTGATAGTGACTCTAGTAACATATGCGTCCATGCTTGTCGTCACAGACAAGATCAATTTGATTTAAAATCGCGCCTTAACGTCACAGTTCTCTTGACCTTACCTTATTGTTTTCGTAGCTCGTGGGCCAACCGGGGGAGGTTATAGCTCCACTGTCTCCCGTCAATGAGAAATACTCCCGATTGTCCGATTCTAGACAAGAACATGCAAAATACAAAAAGGAATCTCATGAAAAACGCCCTCTAGTGATTTATGATGTGATTTCTATGCTTATGCCTGCCACTACGACGGAAATACTTGCAATTAACAAACGTCGCTACAATAACCTCTTTTTTTCGCTATGCACTTACGCAAAAATAAACAGACCAGTTCAAATTTCTGAAGCTAATAAAAATCACCGATTTCATCTTTATTCTTGCTTTGACGACACTGAGATGTTCCAATCATTGGATACCTGTTCCAAATCGCAAGGTCTCAAATGAGTATATTTTGGTAAAATTTTGGGATACAAAAGGAACTATATGGCTATCTCAATAGAAACAATTGTCAAGTCGATTCTAAAAGTTGATTCTTTATCAATGATTTCTGAAAAGAGCGTTGCTACAGAGATTTTGGGCTTCAAAGTGATTGAAGAAGTCTTTCATTACTAAATTGCTAAAAGTTCCAATTCCTGCGTTTCACAATGCAGTGTGCCACCAAGAGTTTGCCATGGAGATTTAATTTTTCCCAGTGCATTGTGGGAGATGGTCGACAAATTCGCAGTGCGGGACTTTTGAAATCGTTAGTTTTTCCGGCTAGTAGTTTCGTAAGCGTATGATTCGAGTATATGTTTGCCCTTTTCTTTACTTTTTATAAATAGGTTTTTTTTTGTAAGGCGGTAGAAGGCTAAGCTTGAATCTGAAACAAATTAGCTCAAGTTGTCTACTGACACTTGTTCAAATGGGCAGTGTTTTGTCGGCCGTAAACTTCAAAAATTGACCCTCCATGACAAACTCTTGGTGGCGTACTGCATTGTGAATCGCCCGAATTGTATGATATCAAAGTACCACGTGATCATCTGGTTTCCTAGTGCGCGAGCGGCCACCATTGCAGCAGGCAAGCGTTTGTGTCATGTACAGTTGTCATAATTGTGCTGACCCACCACTGGGAGTTCATGAATCAGTGTTTCTTTCACATTTTTGGCCATCCATCACAGCTTTGAAGGCTATTCTACCAAATACGACATGCGATGCTATGTCATCTTTGCCTCCTACAATGGTGACGCTGACTTTCCGGTGCCCAGATGATGCAGGCCGGGTCAGCTAACATATCACGTCATTGTCTCTAGCTGCCAGCTGGAGACAATTTTGGGCTCAAATTCAAGTTGTGGGTTCGAACCCAACAGTTTCGTTACTGGAGATGTAGTACTGTCAAGAAAATTTACTGACTTGGACAAAAGGTCTTACCAGGCGTCAAGGTAACTCGGACGGGTCCAATGCGACTCAGGACGCCCAGCCAGTTCAAACCGGCCACGGATACCAGGTAGACGGTGTCCTGCGATACCATGGCAACCTCAATCTGGGCATCTCTGGCCTCACCACCATACACAGTCTCAAGCTCTGGAAATGATAGAGGGTTGGAGTTATGTAAGAACTTTGTGGGCACAGGTAACATCTTAAATGTGACGGCACTAGTGTGACTTCTTTGTTCCTACAAACGTTGAGCGTTATGCTTTGCATACATCCAAAACTTTACTGTACGACCTCGTATCTTAGCAACCGATTTGATTTAAATTCTGAGCATGTGCAGGGAGCAGAGATGTACGTAGACTCTAAAAAAAATTCAGGAAGTTTCAGGTGTAATTAGATAGTATATGGTGCCAGTGTGTTAACTACATTACTTTGTTTTTTCTTTACACAATACTCTGTACTGTCTGTCTGTTTGTGTCCCTCTCTTTATGCTGTCCTGTTTTTGTTTCCTGTCATGTTTGTGTTCACCAGTATGTTTTTTTTCTTTCTATCATATTTCCTTGTAATGTTTCCCCAGTATTTTGCTAGGCATTTCTATAAAAGCTCCTGCTTTTTTTAAAATGCCTCCGCGCCTTCTAATTCTGAGTAATTTTGTACATAAATATGTTGCATTTCCTTATTGTTAATTGCATATTTTATTTAATTAATATTAATATGTTTGTAATTATCAAGATTTGAAAGTACGGAAACAAATGTCTACTTGAAAAAAAAAACACTGAAATTTAGAAAAAAAATAATATGAATCGGAAAACCAAAATTGAGAACTTGTATCCCTGACAAAAGGCTTTAGAACATCAAGAATGATCAAAGGTGTCAGTGAGAATGTTTAGAGAGAATGTTTCTTGTCACTATACTAGCCAAAAGAACATCACAAAGATCAACAATCTGAAGAGCGAATTTCAAATTACACTGGCTCCCCTCCCTATTTAGATCTATTGACTCCGCCCCTCCCAACTCACCTTCCTCCGACGGACTGGTCTCTTTACTGTAGAAGATGCTGTAGCCAATCACATCGCAGCTTGTTGGAGAGCCGTCCCACTTGACCTCAAAGCTTGCTGGGGTCAAAGGTGACGCTCGGACGTTCCTAGCATTGCCGTCCTCAGGAACAAAACCTGGACGTTGCAAAAATAAAGTTTTTTAATGTTTCTGAAAAATATCATTGGATTGTTGAACACGAAATAACCAGCAAGCTCTGCCAAAGACTGAATCAAAATGCCTCTTTCCCACATAATGAGGGTGTTAAAATGATATGCAATCTGTTATAAATCTGTTGCCAACCACATATGACTTAACAGTCCATCATTTTCAGTTATCCAAAAAGTAACTGACTAAATTATTGTTGAAAAGCATACTTGGTTTAAAGATAGTGGAACTAAGCTCCCCGTGAAATTATTCGTTCTGGCAAGCTGTCATTTTGAAGAAAACAATGAAAGAAGGCCTTTCCAAAGATGGAATTGTATGAACTGCCAATAATTATAGAAACATTACACTGAATTGCAACATGAAGTGAAGGATCAATAGTCGCGCATTTAAGCTTAGAGGATGTGGTCTGTAAAAAAAAGTCAAACTGAACTTCGTATGTGACCTTTGACATCCTCAACTTTTCAAATGAGACCAATTTCACATTTTCAGCCTATTTCACAACTTGACCTCAGATGACCTTTGACCTTGGTATGTGACCTTTGACAGCATTATCATATGAAGGTCGCAATGTTGCATCTCTGTGACTCAAGTTTGGTTCCAATTGGAATTCAACTTTTCAAATGAGACCAATTTTACATTTTCAGCCTATTTTACAACTTCTACAAGCATCCAAATTTCCCTACCTTTGTCTGTAATCTCACACAGTATGTACTTGTTCTCGCCGCAATTGGCCGACCGTATCTCCACGGCACTCTCGCTCTCTCGTATGTACCCACAATCCTTTGTGGCAAACCTGGGCTCATCCGAGGGCCAGAGAGGTAGCTGCCATTCGGCTGTGGGCTGACAATCCAACCATCGCCAGTCCCCCTCCACCGATATGTCATCGTAACCTAGAAGGAATATCAGGCACAACTTTACGGAGAACAGCTCAATGAAAAAAAAAAGAAGGATTTTAGTATGGATTCTTTTTGAGGGTGGGTTCCAACCCAATCAAGGGATCAATTTCCAGTTAAAAGTTACGTTCCCTGTGCTCTGCACCAAATTACATTTCTTTTTTCTCTCCAACAAATTTTTCAACTTGTATGTTTTATTCCTACCAAGAAAACCTGTCTTTTTTCACGGAACATCTGCAACTCTCTGAAGAAAGGTTTTTATTTTGGGCACCAAACAGATCTGCAGGCCTGCAAAAGCAGACTGGCTCCCAGTCTGTACATTATTGATACTGATTGTGGAGCCGGAACCAGCCTACCTCAGCTTTTAAATTTTGTTTCGAGTGCAAAACTCTGTCTACTTTCCATTACCTATGCAAAACAGTTGCACTCAATATTAGGAATAGTCCAAGCATTTCACATACTGTCAACATACAGTGCTCTATATATTTCCATTCCAAATTTGACACTGTGAAAAGTTAGGAGTGTAAATCCCGGGGGGAAGGGGTTTTATATATATACCCCCCCCCCCCCCCCCCGCCACTTTTGGACCACGGGGGATAAGCTATTGCATCATTCCCGCCCCCCCCAACTTGTTCGTAATGAGAAGAAAAAATGCGGATTTCGAGGTATTTTTCGAACATCCCAACAACCACAATGCATTCAATAGCACTAAAAATTGGAGAAACAAAGGACAAAAGCTTTTAAAATGTGCCAGGATGTACATCTATATCCTGAAGAGCGCCCCTAGTGAAATGTGGTGTCTAGCCCCCCCCCCCCCCAACTGCTTTTTAAATTTCCACAGCCGGGCAAGTTTTGGATTTTGGTCACCCCCATCCCCCTCCCCCCCCCCCCCCAAACTCGCCAGCACAGTTTTACGCCACTGCACATCAAGCAGCTAGTTTAAAAAATGCATAACGGTAAATTTATAAATGGATGATTTTACCAATCCACCACATTTGACCCGGGTTGACCTCCTGCATCCTCCTCTGCACAAACTCCAGCTCCGGCTGACTGTCGATGATAGCCAGGTCCCCGTTAGCCACGTCCTGGCAGTATTGTCGCGCCACGCCCCATGGCCTGGTGAAGTTGAGGAAAGCGAAGCAGGACCGTTCAGGGCCTTCCTCATAACCATCTGGACAACCTGAGAAAAGACAAAAGTGCGGTTATTGCGAAGTTGTTTTCTTACAACACTTTTATATTTCTTTCTATTAACATGCCTATTAGATGTGATGCCGTTACATGTTTACCAAAATTCTTCTCTAGAAGAAAGTGATGGGAATGTTCAGTTTTTATTGTGAAAGACAGAGTTGTTTTTTTCAGCAAAACGAAAGCACTTCACATGGGGAATTATGTGAATTGTTTTCGTTTTGCTGAAAGAACAAGTACCTTTTTTTGTGATCCGTGGACAGAACTTTAAAACGGTGTTTGTGTTCAAAATTCCGTAACTTGAAAAGTACATGAGTGATTTGAATGATTCTTGTACTAAAAGAAAGCACATGGATTGGGCTTTCCTATCCTAGATTTTGAAAGTGCTACAGGCAAAACTTCTTTTCAAACTTAGATGCGCCCTAACCCTATATTCCCTTGTCCTTTTCCCACGAATCTCGGTATGTTTACTAATTAGACCATGAGCAACAAGTATAATCTAATTGTGACGATAAAATTGAGCCTCTAAAGGGGGGCTGTGACATGAAAATGTCTCCCTAATGACAGATGTCTCACATCATTCGAAGAAATTACGATACCCTGTCTCCTTAGTGGTACCTTTACACATTTAATAATAAAGATTGTTCGTCCACTCCACCGTCACCTACCCCAGGGTGTGGTCACTAACACCGGCCCGACCTGCTCCAGTTCTTCGTTCAAGTTGATGACTGCCACACCGATTGAATACTCCGTGTTTGTCTCTAGACTACTCAGCAAAGTATTGTTGGCATTACCTTCATAGACAGTCTGTGAACCTGTAAACAGATAATAGTAAAAATCTATTAGATCAATTTGGGCGATTCACAATGCAGTGCGCCACTAAGAGTTTGCCACGGAGAATTCATTTTTCCCAGTGCATTGTGGGAGATGGTCGACAAATTCACAGCGCGGGGCATTTGATGTTCGTTTTTCCAGTCAGTAGTTTCGTAAAGGTATGCTTCGAGTATCTGGTTGCCCTTTTGTTTCCTTTTTTTCAATGTGGTGTTTTTTGTAAGGCGGCAGAATGCTATGCCCCAATCTATAACAAATTAGTTCAAGTTGTCTACTGACACTCATTCAAATGGGCCATGCATGGCCAACTCTTGGTGACGCACTGCATTGTGAATCGCCCAAATTGGGATTCAATAGAATGGATTTACTGTCAGATTATGGGCTCTGCGTGCACAAGTACCCCCTCAACGGTAAGAAAGGGAGAATAGGCCTCTGTACTGATGACATCACACTTTGTTTACATGTGCACTTTCCTATGGAGCCAGGCGGGGCCCACGGTCCACTGAGCACCATAGGAAAGCACACACGTAAACAAAATGTGAGGTCATTGAGGCTTATTGGGAGACCTCTGGGAGATATCGAGACATTCGAACGCACTGCTGACAACGCCTGATGCTTGACACTAACCATAAGATGCTATGAATTTGGGCACATGAAGAATAAAATTAGCCATGTGTACTTCACGCTTTACGCGTGCGAACCAGTATGCTTACGCAGTGTGTCCCGTCCATGGAGCTCTTAAGGAATACAGCGCCCTCTCTTGTTTGCGAACGGAACCCATTGGACAGTTTCCAACCACCGAGCCTACTTGCCGATACAAAACAGATGGGTCAAGTTGACCGCTTGGCCACTGTAGTGCCCCAAATCTCCCTGCCTCCCTGGCCTGAAACTGCCCAATTCATCAGTGAATAAATACGACGTACTACAATTACCTTTCTGATTTTTGTCCGACGTTTTGAAGTAATGCACTCGATATCCGATGACATCACAGTTATCCGCCGACACGTCCCACGTCACTTTTACACTGAAGGGCGTCATGGCAACGGCGGCAACGTTTGTGGGTTTCGTATCCTCCTCGGTAAAATCTTCCAGCAAACAAAAGAAGATGTTGTTATTTTTAAAAGGTAAAGTCTTGAAACTATTCCTTGCTCATCCTTGCTTTGAATTCAAAAAAATATGATGTAAAAATCGCATACATTGACAACTGGCAAAATGCCAACATAGGGCGAGACAGCTCAGCACTGGAACGACAATGCGGAGGTTTCAAGCCCCGCTCCAGTCAATTTCTCTTATTCTTACGTTGATACATTTTAGTTAAAGGGAATATACATCATTTACTTTTGCTGTAATTTTCAGAAATGGATGGATTTGGGGGGTTGGTAATATATAGCAAATATTGTTAAACTGTCTTTTTTGACATTTCGGGTTCGTAGATGCTATAAAAATCAAGAAAAACAATCAGTTTCCTGCAGTCTGGTTCCCTGACTCCATTAAAGATGAAACGGAGCGATTTATAGACATTGGGGAATTGTAAGGTCAGGGAACAAGTTTAGCTGGCTTGTACCCGTTCATAGGTGTGTAATCAATCGCAAACAAATGCGGACTAACTAAATATGGTCAATTGGGGCCAGTATGTGAAAAAAGCCAGTTTTTTTCCAATGCTGGTCGGCCGACCAGCGTTGGAAATTGATACGAAAATACCAATTTTCTTGAAAATGACAGTATACCAGGTGCCATGATTTTACAGGATGCTTTAGACTGTCATTCACTAACAGTCCAGCAAAGTATTTCAAAATAATTTGGTAGTTTTATTTTTTGATGCTTGCAAATGTTGTATTTTCCCTTTAAGTACAAAACTTAATTCTTCTCAAAAAAATAAAAGAAAGTTTTTCGTCTTCTTAAATTCTTACCTTTTGGTGACACCTCACAGATAAAGTTGAATTTCTCGTCGCATATTTCACTGCTCAGTTGCCCCGTGCCGCCCAGAAGAATACCGCAATCTTTCCTTAAAGCTGGTTCCCCTGGCACCCATAGAGTTGACTGCCAATCACTGGTATCGCTGCAATCCACCCAGCGCCACGTCCCCTCAACGGACACGTCATAGTAACCTATTGGGGAAAACAAGTCAAAAAGTGGATCAAAAAAAAAGTCAAAAAAGTTGCTCCAGTCGTGGTCGATTTCTTTATGTTCAACTTTTCAATTGACAAAATTATTGCTTAAAAAAAAGCTTATTTGGTTTAAAGATAGTAATGGTACTATTAACTCCCTGTGAATTTTTTCTTTCTTGCATGCTGTCGTTCTTTAAGAAAACAATAAAAGAAGGCAAATTCCAAAGATGCGTCAAGTGACGGCTGGTAATTAATCCAATTCGTTAATGGGTGCGCGTAAGCGTTGACACGACGGGCTCGCTGTTGCTATTATTCGTCAGTTCAGCGCGTGACATCACGTAGCGGCAATCAGCTGAGTGAGAACGTGTCTCGGACGCTGATTTCGGGTGCAATTCAAAATATGACTCGGCAATTTTTGAATTCAAGTGAAACCGAGATCCTCGAATATTGTTTGCGGAATACACGGCATTCACTGAGCTAAAACTTCATTAGGTTAGTTGTTCAGCACCCGTCTTAAGATTTTGAGCACTTTTGTTGCTAATGAAAAAAATGCACAAATGACAAGTTAAAATTTTTATCACTGAGAGATATTTGTGGTCAGAGTCCATAGTAACTAAACTTACCGATCCACCACGTTTGGTCAGGAGCCAGGGTTTCCGTCTGATTCAGGATGTAATCCAACTCTTCCTGATTGTCGATGATCAGCAAGTCACTGCCTCGATTTAAGCAGCTGTTTCTCCTGCTGGACCACCAGCCCGTGTTATTCGGATCGTGATAGAACCAGTAACAGGAATTGTTGGGACCTGGTAGATGCCATCCTGGGCAAGGACCTGGTTGAAAGAAATAGCACAATAGGTATTATGCAGGACCAAGAGAGGGCGGTATACCAAACACTGGGCTGTGTTGCTAAGGTTGTGATAGAACCAGTAAAAAGAACCATTGGGTCACGGTAAATACCTTTCTGGAGTGGGACCACTTTTGAGGACATATTTAATAAGGGAATAAATGTGTGTTTGGGAGGTATTTAAACACTCTCTTTAAGACCAGTTGGAGTCTGGATTGGTGATAATTACCTGAGGCGAAGCCAAGGGCAATTTTCAGCATTCCAGACTCCAACCGGTCTTAAACAGAGTGTTTAATACCGACCAAGCACATATTTATTCCCATTCATCAATACCTTTTCCGTCAAAAAAAAAAAATCTTTTCAGTCCAAAAATCAAAACAAGTCAAAAACTAGACACTGCCAACCATTTACTTCATGTTTGATGAACCACCCCTCTGACTTTAAAATGGAATGTCCCTCTACAACTCCTTACCTTATAAGGATGATCGGCGCACGCGTCATGCGTACTGCGCGATGTTGCGCAAAACGCAGCTGGGCTGGTGTATTGTGAATTTGGGACTATGAAATATACTGATTCACTGGTAGTACTACGCATGCCTACATGAGGAATTTGAACTTTCAACCAATGAAACGTTAAAAGGCACCGGATTTCATGGGAGTCCAAATTGCATGCGACACTGAAAAAGTGTTTAAGACCAGCCAGCCATGTCTTTATCATCCGTTTAAAACGGCCACATGACAGCTCTCGACCAATAGGAATGGGTAAACTGTATTAGGTATTTATGAATATTAAATAAATGCATGACTTCCCCTCAACACAATATATACCGGTATCCGGGAAATAAGTGCGAGTGCAGAATTTAAAGATTTCCAAACTGTTTCAAGATTTTCTTTTTTACAGGTATGCTGTCAAGTCTTGCACTTACCTAACCATACTTCAGCTGGCCCCACTTTGTCCAACTCCTCTTCAATCTGCATGCCAGCTACGTAGATTTGCCACCACACATTTGTCGTAAGAGGGGATAGAATGGTTTCATTGGCATTGCCCTCGTAGACTTGTAGAAAACCTGAAAGGCAAAGAGTGTCAAAACCAAACTGTATTTAGCCAGATATGGCTGTGTTCGAATCACTGGGCTATGGCTGGGAATAACATGCACAACTGTGGAAGCCACTGGCTAGCGGCTGCAGCCTCTTCCCATAGACCAGTGTATTTCCTAGCCGTAGCCAAGTAATTCAAACACGGCCTTGGCCACATTACTTGACTACGGCTTGCAATTACACAAGCGGCTATGGATATGGCTGAAGCCATACACGCGCCTATGGAAGTGGCTGCAGCCTCTTCCCATAGACCCGTGTGTTATTTCCTAGCCGTAGCCAAGTAATTCAAACACGGCCTTGGCCACATTACTTGACTACGGCTTGCAATTACACAAGCGGCTATGGATATGGCTGAAGCCATACACGCGCCTATGGAAGCGGCTACATCCACTTCCCATAGACCTGTTTATTTCCTAGCCGTAGCCAAGTAATTCAAACTTGGCCTTGGCCACATTACTGACTACGGCTTGCAATTACACAAGCGGCTATGGATATGGCTGAAGACACTTACCATAGACCTGTGTGTTATTTCCTAGCCGTAGCCAAGTAATTCAAACACGGCCTTGGCCGTACATTACTTGACTACGGCTCACAATTACACAAGAAGCTATGGATATGGCTGAAGCCATACACGCGCTTATGGAAACGGCTACAGCCACTTCCCATAGACCAGTGTGTTATTTCCTAGCCGTAGCCAAGTAATTCAAACACGGCCTTGGCCACATTACTTGACTACGGCTTGCAATTACACAAGCGGCTATGGATATGGCTGAAGCCATACATGCACCTATGGAAGCAGCTACAGCCACTTTCCATAGACCCGTGTGTTATTTCCAGCCATCATGTACAGCCCATTATAACTGTAGGTCTAAGTTTGGATTTACTAAAGGGGAAAACATTACGGGAGCATTCCATTCACTCTTGCTTGGAATTACCAAAGCTAGGCTCTACTAAGTTACAGACCTCGTGCACAAGTACCCCCTCTTGTGGTTACAAAGGGAGAGTTGGGGAAGACCACTGTGAGGGACATCTGAACACATTGCCTACGCTGCCGCAATCACGCAAAGATGCTTTGGTTTTGCACACATTCAGAACGAAATCAGTCGTGCGTACTTTGCGGCCTACGCCTACAAACCAGTTCGTGCATGCCCCTCCCACTAGGGGTCTTGAAAAAGGCACAAAGCGCCCTCTATGTTCATGCACGGAGTCAATTACCTGAGAACCCATTCAAGTAGCTCCAGTTTACCAAGAGAGCTAGTCTCAGTTTCAACAACCAAATTTTACCATTAAAAAAATACAGCCAATTGTGTTCCGGTTCTTTTTAGAATACTCTTTTAATGTTGGTGTTGTTTACCTGCGTTACTGGGTTCTTGATATTGTTGGTAGTGCACTCTATATCCAAAGACGTCACAGTTGTACGGTGACACGTCCCAAGTCACTCTTATTGCCGTTTCATTGATAGCGACGGCTTTCACATTTCGCGCATTGGTGTCGGCGAGGGTGAAGTCTAGGGGTCAAACAAAAACAAACATTCATTAGTTGAGGATCTACAACTCTTGTTTATAACTCTACAGATTCTGGGTTCAAGTCCAGCGCTAGTGTGTGTCCTTGGGCAAGGCAATTTACACTAAGTAGCTTCTCTCCATCCACGAATAAATCGTTGCATCAAATCTTTTTGTACCACAAATCTAAAAACACTTAGGCCCCAATAAATACATTCTCAAGTAACTCCAAATTGTGGAAACTGTGTCCAAGACTCCGAACTGAATAAGTTTGTCTAACATTAGAATGATACTGATAGTCAAAGAGCCAAGCAAACAGAACCCTGCTCATCTTAACAAAAACCCTTGTACAACACACAACACCAAATTTCAAGAACTCTTGACAGTAGCCTGTATCTTTTTCTTCCGTCTTCTTAAATTCTTACCTTTTGGCGACACCTCACAAATGAAGTTGAATTTCTCGTCGCATATTTCACTGCTCAGTTGCCCCGTGGCGCCCAGAAGAATACCGCAATCTTTCCCGATAGCTGGTTCCCCTGACACCCATAGAGTTGACTGCCAATCACTGGTATCGCTGCAATCCACCCAGCGCCACGTCCCCTCAACAGAAACATCGTAATAACCTGCCCTCCCAAACAAAACGAAATGGACGTTATTGAAAAGGATGGAAGTTTCTGTGCCTGTGCTCAAAGGTATCAATAAAGATCAGTGGTAAAGACTTGATTTTTAGATTTACATCAAAGTGTATGTATAATGTATGGGGAGTCAGTTTTAGGGGTGTACGTCGGAAACCGAGTGCCCGACCGCTGATGTCAAGAGCCGGTTCCAGATTATGGGATCGGGTACTTGTAACCAACTTTATAAAGTACTTATCTTGCTGCATCGACGCAAGTGTGGAAGTGTTATTGTGTGCTCCTTTTGCGGGTACCCAGGTACCCACATTTTACTTCAATAGGGTACCATGGTACCCGCATTTACTTCAATAGGGTACCTAGGTACCCAGGTACCCGCATTTTACTTCAATAGGGTACCCGGGTACCCAGGTACCCGCATTTTACTTCAATAGGGTACCCGGGTACCCAGGTACCCGCATTTACTTCAATAGGGTACCAAGGTACCCAGGCGCCCGCATTTATTTCAATAGGGTACCCAGGTACCCGCATTTGGGTACCCAGGTACTCCCATTTACTTCAATAGGGTACCCAGATACCCGCATTTACTTCAATAGGGTACCCAGGTACCCAGGTACCCGCATTTACTTCAATAGGGTACCCGGGTACCCGCATTTTACTTCAATAGGGTACCTGGTTCCCTACTACCCGTAAATGCACACCTCTAATCAGGTTGGTACAGTGCTTGCTTCATGGACCGACTGAACTTCGCTCGTACCAACCGCCCTGCAGGGCGAGGGGTACGAGCGAACGACCGACCAAGCGATCGACACCAGAGTGACTTGTAAGAAGCTCCTGCAAGAGCTTAAAAATAGTTGATTGCCTCTATTCGACTTGGTTTCTTTGTATATTCCATTAGGTTTTTGAAAGATCTGGTAAGATTGAGGACAGTAGACCCTGAAAGTTGAAAACAAAAAGTGTGCCACTGATTTTCTGCACAGTGGAGGATTTGGGGGTTTTATGTTCCCGGCCGTACACCTCTATGGCCAGGGTTTGATTCCTGCCCTGGTCCACATGTGGATTAGGTTTCAGTCCCTACATGATGCCATTTTTTTTTCCCACCAGAATATTTTTCTGGAGTTCCACCAGAATATTCCTCTGGGGTTTTTCTCCCACCTCTAAAAGTGAATATTCGTTCACTGTCAGCTTTCTCCAGGCTTTTTGAGCTACAGTGCCAAGGGCATTTTTGAGGAATCCTTGGTTTCATGGCCAGCATAAAATAATAATTAAAAAAAAAAATCATGATCAATTTAACTTTTTTAAATCAGCTTTGAAAAAAATCTTGAAGTGATGAACCAGGCTTTATCCTGTATTGAACTTCCATCAAAGCCTGATTTAAATGACAGTGGTTAAGAACACAGCAACAACAAAACAAAAAACATCTAAAAAAATCCTAAACTTTACCGATCCACCACGTTTGGTCAGGAGCCAGTATTTGTGTCTGGTTCAGGATGTAATCCAACTCTTCTTGACTGTCGATGATCAGCAAGTCACTGCCTCGGTTCTGACACGCTCCTCGACTGTAATACCACCAGTTGGTATCATTGACGTCATGATAGAACCAGTAACAGGATCCGTTGGGGCCTGGAAGATGCCATTCTGGGCAGGGACCTGGTAGAAGGAATAATGGACATTATGTGTGACCGGCAGAGGGCGGTATAACACACACCAGCCTGTGTTATTAACGTCATGATAGAACAAATAGAAAGAATCTTTAGGTCTGGTTAAATACCATTCCTGGTAGAGCCACTTTTGAAGATATAACTTCTCCTCAAAGCAATACCAGTATATTTGGGGAAATAAATGCAAGTGCAGATTTTAAAGATTTCCAAACTGTTTCAAGATTTCTTTTTTATAGGTATGTAATGTCAAGTCATTGCTCTCAAGTGTTATATTAATTGTCAAGTGAAGTGTCATTGCCGAGCAGTTAAGAGCACCCGACTCAAGCTCTGGTGTTTCTGATCAGCAGAGTTCCAGTCTTGACACTTGTGTCCTTAAGCAAGACACTTAACCATTATCGCTTCGTCCTTCAGATGGGACGTACAGCCATAGGTCCCGTGCATTTTGTAATGCGCATAAAAGAACCCAGTAACACTTATCACTACGAGAAGGGGTTTGCCCCGGTGTTTCTGGCAGTGTGTTTATCTTCAACCACATGAGACAGCACTTGCAAGAAAGAAGAAAAAGAAAGACGTCTTGCACTTACCTAGCCATACTTCAGCTGGCCCAACTTTGTCTAACTCCTCCTCAATCTGCATGCCAGCTACGTAGATTTGCCACATCACATTTGTCGCATAAAGAGGGGACAGAATGGTTTCATTGGCACTGCCCTTGTAGACTTGTACAAAACCTGACAGGCAAAAAGCCAGAAACACGACATTATTGGCCAGATATGGCTGTGTTCGAATCACTTGGCTACGGCTGTGAATAACATGCACAACTATGGAAGCCACTGGCTAGCGGCTTCAGCCACTTCCCATAGACTTGTGTATTATTTCCGGTCGTCTTGAACGACCTATCATATTTGTAGGTCTAAGTTTGGATTTTTAAAAGGTGGAAAAACTTTTGAAGGGCCCATGCAATGTAATTTTTAACAAAAAATTTATGCAATCTTTGGAAATGCACCCTTGTGTCCCAATTGACCACTTTGCCAATTTGAAGGGCATTTTGGAGACTTTTTGGTTTTTATGCTAATGAAAATTTGCATATTCATGAGCAAAAGCGTGATGTCATTTCAGGCAGAAACTTCAATGCTACAGCTATTTCAGCACCAAAAGTTGCCAGATTTTTCAATATTTTGCCGTTGTAAATGTTCTTTTCTTTGGTGATTTGTTGTTGAGTCAGTGCATGGCAGTAAGCCAGTGAGCAAACTTTCTCACAAATGTTTTCAACCACGAAAAAAAAATTGTGTTCACAATTTGAACAAAACCCCTAAACTGAAGTGTCTTCCTGAAATGACATCACCGCAACTGCGCCCTCAGTAGTCTGAAAATACAAGGGAAATCTGAAATGTTTAAAGAAGTGCACTTTTCAATAAAATTAACCAGAAAGGAATGTCAAATAGTTTTCATACATTTTAAGAGGAGCAGAAAGTTGCAGAAAATGTGTTCCTAAGACAAATTTATCTCATGGACCCTTAACAACAATGGTTTTGTTTACCTGCGTTACTCGGTTCTTGATATTGTTGGTAGTGCACTCTATATCCAAAGACGTCACAGTTGTATGGTGACACGTCCCAAGTCACTCTTATTGCCGTTTCATTGATAGCGACGGCTTTCACATTTCGTGCATTGGTGTCGGCGAGGGTGAAGTCTAGTGGTCAAACAAAAACAAAACAAGTTCACTGACGTGGCTTCATAGAGTAGGAGTCCCGAACTAAACATCTTATTTTTAAGTCTACAGATTCTCCATTTGAGTCCAGCCTGTGGGGTTGCATTGTGTGTCCTTGGGCAAGGCATTTTACATTAAGTATCTTCTTTCCACTCAGGCATAAATTGCTACCTCATCAGAGGGACAATTGTGTTTGTTGGGTCTTAATTTTTAAATCAAACTCAAAAATACTGTTTGAAACTCTACCGACTGTGGGTTTGAGTCCAGCCTGTGGAGTTGCATTGTGTGTCCTTGGGCAAGGCATTTTACATAAGTAGCTTCTCTAAACCCTGGCACAAATGACTGTCTCATGAGGAACAACAATGCTGGTTGTGTCTCAATTGTGCACTCAAAATCTAAGTATCAAGCCTTAAGAAATATACATTCTCAAGAAACTCAGTCCAAATTGTGCAAACCATGACCAAAGCGAGTAAGTTTGTCTAAAATGTGAAAGATTGTCATCCAACCAGGTAAACTGAACACCACTCATCTTAAGAAAAGCCTGAAATATTGAGGTTTGTTTTGCCTATACTTCCGCTCTACACCTGTTGTGAATATTGTCAATCAACAAAGTTCTTCAGCACACTGTAGCCTGTAAGTTTTTCTTCTTACCTTTTGGTGACACCTCACAGATAAAGTTGAATTTCTCGTCGCATATTTCACTGCTCAGTTGCCCCGTGCCGCCCAGAAGAATACCGCAATCTTTCCTGATAGCTGGTTCCCCTGACACCCATAGAGTTGACTGCCAATCACTGGTATCGCTGCAATCCACCCAGCGCCACGTCCCCTCCACTGAAACATCATAATAACCTGACCAAAAAAAAGAAAAGAACTTGACATTTTCGAAGAGACATAAAATGCAAAACTTTTGAAGCAGTATTTATTTTTTTCAAACTTAGTCACCGATAACGGATGAAAGTTTCTTTACCTGTGCTAAAAGTTGACGATAAAAACCACTCGTATAGACTTGATAATGTATGGGGAGTCCAATTGCAGTGGTCCTGTCCTCGATCCCCTTTCACCTCTATGGCCCAGGTTCGATTCCCACCCTGATCTACACATGGATTGGGTTTTCCCCAGAGTATTTTTCTGGAGTTTTCCTCCCACCTCTAAAACATTTGTTCATTGTCTTCTTTCAGCAACTTTCTCAAGGCTTCTTGAGTTACAGTCCCTAAAGGCATTTTTGTGGAATCCTTGGTTTCATTACCAGAAATACATAATATAATAAACAAAATACTAATGATAGATTTGTCATTTTCAAATCCTCTTTGAACAATCAAGCGAAGTGAACCAGGTTTTATCCTGTATCTGTCCTCAGATCCCTCAGTGCCTGATTTAAGTCACAGTGCTTAAAAATACAGCAAAAACAAAACAAACACCAACAAAAATCCTAAACTTACCGATCCACCACGTTTGGCCAGGAGCCAGTATTTGTGTCTGGTTCAGGATGTAATCCAACTCTTCTTGACTGTCGATGATCAGCAAGTCACTGCCTCGGTCCTGACACGCTCCTCGGCTGTAATACCACCAGTTGGTGTCATTGACGTCATGATAGAACCAGTAACAAGTACCATTTGGGCCTGGAATATGCCATTCTGGGCAGGGACCTGGTTAAAAGATATATCACGACAATGGACATAACGTATGACCGGTAGATACTAGAGGACAGAAGAACAAACACCAGCCTGGGTTATTAAAATTGTGATTGAACAAGGAGAAAGAACCATTATAGGTCCAGTTAAATGCCATTCTTGAAAAGGGACAACTTTTGGGGGAAAGAACTACGAGTGCAGAATTGAAAGATTTCAAAACTGTTTCCAGATACCTTTTATAAAAGGTACGCTTGCTGAGGGTTTCACTTACCAAACCATACCTCAGCTGGTCCAACTTTTTCCAACTCCTTCTCAATCTGCATGCCAGCTACGTAGATTTGCCACATCGCATTTGTCGCATAAAGAGGGGAAAGAATGGTTTCATTGGCACTGCCCTCGTAGACTTGTACAAAACCTGAAAGGCAAAAAGTCAGAAACACGATATCATTGGCCAGATATGGCTGGGTGTGAATCACCAGGGCCCAATTTCACGGCGCTGCTTAACAGTATAGCAGAAAAATTTGCTAACCTTAAGCACTATTTCACGGCGTGGACGTGCTAACTCGGTCGCGCGTGCATGGAGATTTCTACTGTTACGTCACTAAGTTAAGCAAATTTTCCTCTGAAGTAAGCATGCCTTTTGCTGTGCTTATGCTTACGGTCTCCATGAAATAGACGGAGGCTCTGTTAGCAGAAAATTATGTGCTTAGCAGCGCCGTGAAATTGGGCCCTGACCAAGGCTTGCATTAATGCGCACACCTATGGAAGCCTCTAGCTATGGGCTCCGTGCACAAGTACCTCGCCAACTGCCAGAAAAGGAGAGTTGGGGGTGACCTTGTTCTGGATCCATCCACCGGGTATTTCGAATGTATCCAAAGTTATTGGAGGCAGGGATTAGTCTCAGAGACCATCACAAGTTGAATTTGAACGCATTCGCGCGCGGATGATGCCGGACACTCACGTGAAGACACGGTGGCTATAGCTTTTGCACATTCAGGAAGTTGTGCGTACTTTGCACGCCAACCAGTGCAGTACAATACGCGCACGCTGTGTGTCCCGTCCACCGAGCTTTCAAAAGAGACAAAAACGCGCCCTCTTTTGTTGGCGCACGGAGCCCACAGCAGCCACTTCCCTTAGAATCGGGGTGTGTTATTTCCAACTGTTTCGGACACATACGGCCTTTAACTTTAAATCTAAGTTTAGATTTACTAAAAGGATAAAAGGTTAAGGGAGCATTCCATTCGCTCTTGCTTGAATTACCAAAGTGAGGCTACATTAAGTTATAGAGGATAGACTCCGTGCACAAACACCCCTCTAGTGGTTACAAAGAGAGAGTAGGGGGAGACCACTGGGAGGGACCTTTGAACACATTGCTATCAACGCCTGACGCTCACGCAAAAACGCTACAGATGAGTGCCCATTCAAAATGAAAATCAGTCGTGCGTACTTCTCGCCATACGCCTACAGACCAGAACGTGCAAGCCCCTCCCACCGGGGGTCTTGAAAGGGGTCACAAAGCGCCATCTATTGTTCATGCACGGAGTCAATTACCTGAGAACCCATTCTAGAAGCTTTGGTTTGCCTAGACAGCTAGTCTCAGTTTCAACAACCAAATTTTACCGTGAAAAAAACCCCAGCTAACTCTTTCAACAATGTTTGTGTTGCTTACCTGCGTTGCTCGGTTCTCGATATTGTTGGTAGTGCACTCTATATCCAAAGACGTCACAGTTGTACGGTGACACGTCCCAAGTCACTCTTATTGCCGTTTCATTGATAGCGACGGCTTTCACATTTCGCGCATTGGTGTCGGCGATGGTGAAGTCTAGGGGTTAAACAAAAACAAACATTCATTAGTTGAGGATCTAAAACTCTTGTTTGAAAGTCAGATTCTGTGTTCAAGTCCAGCCTTTAAGGTTGAAGTTTGTGTCCTTGGGCAAGGCATTTTACACCAAGCAGCTTCTCTTCGCCAAGGAATGAATTGCTGTATCAAAGGGACAACCATGCTTGTTTGTGTCTGTAGCAAGTATCATTTTCTTCCTACCTTTTGGTGACACCTCACAGATAAAGTTGAATTTCTCGTCGCATATTTCACTGCTCAGTTGCCCCGTGCCGCCCAGAAGAATACCGCAATCTTTCCTGATAGCTGGTTCCCCCGACACCCATAGAGTTGACTGCCAATCACTGGTATCGCTGCAATCAACCCAGCGCCACGTCCCCTCCACTGAAACATCATAATAACCTGACCAAAAAATATAATTTTTTTTTTTTTTAAATAGTCACCAATATCGGATGTAATGTCCTTCGCTTTTGCCCAAAATTGTCACTGAAGACGTCTGGTAGCCTATACAGAGTTAATTTGCATCAAAGTGAATGTAATGTATGGGGAGTCAGGTTGGCCCAGTCCTCCTGTCCTTGCCTTCCACCTCTGTGGCCGAGATTTGATGTCCGCCCTGGTCCACATGTGGATTGGCTTCCCCAGAATAGTCTTCTAAGGTTTTCCTCCCACCTCTAAAACTGATCAGCATGCTTTCCGCAGCCTTTTTGAGCTATGAGAAGATGTTTTCGAGGAAATACCTTGTTTCATCACCAGAGACAAATAATAATTAAAAAATCATGTCGATAAGTTTTAATGTTTTCAAACCCACTCCTAAAAATTGTAGTCTTAAGATTCATCAGGGGCTGTATCATAAGTCCGACACCTCATAGGTTTGACGCCTCATAAGTCCGAAATTTCGGACTTATGAGGCGTCAGACTTTTGAGGCATAAATTCTGCCTCATAGGTCCGACGCCTCAGAAGTCCAACGCCTCATAAGTCCGACGTCAGAAAAACAAGGTGTTTAATTTGTCAGACCTACAAGGCGTCGGAGCTATGAGGCGTCGGACTTATGGGCCTTTATTTGGTTAGGGTATGCAATTTTGTCGAACTTATGAGGCGTCGGACCTATGAGGTGTTGGACTATGAGGTGTTGAGCGGATCCCGTCCATCAATGCGTGATTTAAATCACGGAAGTTAAAAACGCAGTGAAAAAAAAACAACCAAAATTAAATCCTAAATTTACCGATCCACCACGTTTGGTCAGGAGCTAGTGTTTGTGTCTGATTCAGGATGTAATCCAACTCTTCTTGACTGTCGATGATCAGCAAGTCACTGCCTCGGTTCTGACACGCTCCTCGACTGTAATACCACCAGTTGGTATCATTGACGTCATGATAGAACCAGTAACAAGATCCATTTGGGCCCAGGACATACTCTTCTGGGCAGGGACCCGCTGGTAAAAGGAATAGAAAACACAATGGACATTATGCACGACTGATCGAGGGCCCGGCGATATAAAACACATACCAGTTGGTATCATCAACGTCATGATAGAAGTAGAACCATAGTACCGGGAACCGTTTGGGCCCGGGAGATGCTGTTCTGGGCAGGACGATTTGTATGGTTAGGGCTATCTCGTACACAGTATTGAGTCCACAATATGCGGACCAGTTACAAGGGCGGATCCAGGGGGGGGGGGCCAAAGGGGGCCATGGCCCCCCCCAAAAATGAAACAAATTTTTTTTAATTTTCTATGTGACATCGCAATAAAGGCAGGCAATGAGTACACCACCATCTTTTCCTCAAAAAAAATTGGTTAAAGTGGTCAGAAATTGCCTCAGATCGCACCACAGAGCATCTAGAATCCAAAAATTTTTCGGGGCCCTTAAGCGGGCCCCGAACCCCACGCCGTAATTTTTTGGACCCACTTTTTTGGGGGACAATTTTTTTTTTTGCCCCCCCCCCTAAAATTGTGTTCTGGATCCGCCTTTGACCAGTTAGGGCCAAATTTCACAGCTATAGTCTGCTTTTAAGGAGATCTATGCTTACAATCACCATTCTGGGACATATATACCCTGAATCCTTACTTATCGAAAAAAGAAGCTTATTAGAGCGGTGTCTTCTTCTCTGATAAACAACAATCTCATGGAGATCTGAAGCAGGAAAATCACTAATCAAAATTATGCGCCAAGCATGTAAAGTACACCTTGAGCAAAAGTATACTCCAGGAGTCTGGAGAACTCAAATCTTGGATTACTTTTTTTTCTTTTTGGTGGATAAAGTTATATTGTACGTACCAGTTGTCTGCGTGAAAGCCGACAAGTTCGTGAACCCCAAGAAGGAAGATAAAATACAAACGATCCACCACGACATCATGAACATTTTTTTCACTTTTTTTGGTATTCTGGTAAAACATCCAATCAGTGTAAATGAAGAATCACGCGTTGCATTCCAGAGCATTTAAACTTTTTATTCAAATGGAGATCTCCTCGAAAATTACCGATGCTCTATGCAAAACTGGGTACAAGTTATTATATTACAGGTACAATAAACCAGATTTTGAACTTTGTACTTTGAAACTCCAAACCTGCAGAAACTGAACCCGCCCACTGAACAATTATTACCAGGAACAACTTTGCCTAGTCTATAGATTCAAATAGATAATTTGAGCTGTGTGTAAACGATCTCTATCTCCTCAGAGTGTTGTGATTATATTATAAATTGCGGGGTGCAGGTCAGCCACTTGAACTTTGCACTTTTTTACTGTCCTTAGGCTTAACACATTGAATATTGACTGACCAGGTCCAACACATGCCAGTTAGATAATCCCAATAAATCCTTTTTATTGAGTGAAAACTTTTATGTGGCCTAGCTATACCCTTACTAAAAGGGCATGCTGTGAATGTAATTTTTTTTAATGCAATCATTGAAAATCAACCTTTGTGTACCATTTAACCCTATTTTCAATGTATGTTTCCAATGCCATTTTCAAGGGTATTTTGGTGACTTTTTGGTTTTTATGCTAATGTAATTTCCATATTCATGAGCCAAAAAAGTGATATCATTTCAGGCAGAAACTTCAATATTTAATATTACAGCTATTTCAGCACCAAAACTTGCTGGAGTTTTGAAAAGTTCATTGTTGCAAATTTGATTTCAGATCTTTGCTAATTCCTTGTTGTGTCAATAGCCAACTTGAATGAGCAATTTACTTTCTCACAAAAACTCAGTGAACTGTCATCAGGAAATTGAACAGCTAACGTTACATCGCCCTCAGTTGTCCGGAAAAGCCATCAGGCGCGGATCCAGGGGGGGGGGGGGCACAAATTCCTAAAAAATTAGTCGAACCCCCCCCCCCCCCCCCCCCCCCCCTCCTCGCCCCTGCTGTGCCTGTGACACCCCAAAAAAGTTATACTGGTATAATGTTTGCCTGTTCAAAGTACAGTACACGATTCTAATAATCTAGTGTTAATAATCATCGAATTTGAACAGCGCCCCCTACTGAAATATGGTACCCGCCCCCCCCCCCTCCCCCCCCCCCCCCCGGGAAGGGGGATATAATTATACCCACCCTCATAAATCTGCCCCGTTAAATTAGTTAAAATAAAATCCACCTGTTTGTGCCGTCGTACAGTGTAGTATTTGCAGAACAGTGCAGAATACATGCTGTAAAGGGATATGTCGAGCGCAATTTGAGTCCCCCACGCAAGTTTAAACTTGCGCGCGCAAGTTTAAACCTGCGCGCACACAAGTTTGAAACTTTAAACGAGCTAGGCCGCCGAAACAGCTAATTTTGCTCGAACTACTTTTCGTACTTTTTACCCTAAACCAAACCTGCGTAGGCTTGACCGTTAAACTTGCATAGTGCCCTCAATTGTATTGACTGAGAGTATCACCACAAGTAATCCTCACTGAACAATGTACTCAATCCGCACTCTGTTCCTTATGGGTTTTTTTAGCGCGTTCATTGTTACGCCGAATTGCCTATCCACCCCTCTCTCAAACTATTCTTCTTTTGTTTCTTTCCTCGCAATCAACCATTCGTTTCACGTAGCGCGACCGTTCAGTACCGGTACTGGTCTCGCACACATTGTATAAGGCCAAATCGACACCACAGCGGTTTTTTTTTTTTAGGGTGAGCCAAACATTATTTTGTTCCCCGAAAAAGTGGGTTCAAAATGTTCCGCCCCAAATTCGATATGAAAAGCAAGGGGGCACTAGGACTCTTCCTGGCATCATTGCATGGTGGCTGAATTTTAATGCTGTACGCAACATGGCTACCTTTTTTGCGACGTCACACTGAAAAAAAATTAGTGGCTCTGTCAATGAAGATGTCACAGTGAAAAGGGACATACACGGCGGAACCGGTCGGGGGCCAACAGGGGCAATGCCCCCCCCCCCCCCTTCAAATTAAAAAAAAAAAAAAATTACCAATTACCCATTTCTTTTCTTTCTTTTTTACTCAATGAGTAAAATTCCAGCAAGTTCAACATGTATGTTCTCCACTTTCAGAAACTGGAGTTTGTCAACTCGCTATAAAGTATTACACAAAGCTGCGAAAAACGGGGGAAATTTTGTTTCAAGAAATAAAAAGGTCATCATATCCACGTTTTGGTATATAAAAAGTCAGCGATCGTAATGCGGAAGAAATAAACCTATGAAGATATGAAAACTATAGTATGATATAGCAAGTTAAACATTCAGCAAATTAGATTTGTAAAAATATAGAAAATTCTTCAGGGATCAGTGGAGAGTACCATCACTTGGTTCCCCCGTATTTTTGAAGCAAAAGAAGCAGTAAATGACGGACGGAGATGAATAGTTTGCCTAGTAGATTGATGTATATCGAAATTCAGAGAAATAACATTAATGGATTGAAGAGTATAAGGTACATGTATTGGAAATAGACCGATACTTTGCGGGGGGGGGGGGGGTACGGCGAATGTACCGCCTATACGAATACATAATTTCAGCCAAAGTGCATGTTCATGAAACAGGTACATTTTTTTCAAGACATTTAAATCATTTGTTTATGACGGGAGTTTCGAAGCTTAGAGGGTTCTTTTTTACATGCATGTATGAAGGCAAAGCGCAGACTGCAGCTGACAATCCTCTCTGTTTCCAACTATATATTAAGACTCTGAGTTTGAAGACTGTATGTACAATAGCCTAGTGGTACGAGTCATCGTCCATAGACCGCGGGGTCCGGGGTTCGAAACGGACCGGGGTGCATTTTTGGTTTTCAATACACGCGCTCAGTCATTTACTTTAAGAGTCTTAATTTCCTGTCGTCAAATACCAACCGACCTTAGCTCAATCAGTTAAGTCACCGGCTGGGACTGTCTGCGAAGTCCAGGTTATGCATCTACTCATAGGTACGGGGCTCTTTTGCTGTCTCGGCAGCAAGGCATAGGGTGTCGCCTCGTTTCCTCCCTTAACGGTGCTTGGCCCTCCGGGGTTACATGGATGGATAGGGAAGGAGGTGTGGTGGGCCGGGGAATCCGAGACCCAGGAAGAGCCCTATATGGGAGTCGGTAACCAATCGCGACCCCTGAATGCTTGGTCAACACCACATAACTTTTTGTTTTTCTTTATCCCATTATTAGTTTTACCATTGTCGGGGTTTATAAGGTACAGTGAAAACGAAATGGTTTTCTTTAAAAATAAATTTGCCCTTGACATTTTTTTTCTAGCCGGGTTACTACAGACCCTGAATTTTTACAAGACCCTTAATTTTTACAAGCCCGCGTGTTTTTTATTATAGAGTGTGGGTTGCTAAAGAGTGTCTTATAAACAAGAATGTACATGTTGCCTAAAACATGTATCATGAGGCACCCTTGTCAGTGTTTAAATAATCTGACCATAATCAAATATTAAAATAAGACACAAATTGATACAGGTTTGCTTGTGAATTGAATGATTTATTTCTTCCAGTCCTTTTCATCTTTGCAGTAGCCTAATAATTTTTCACTCGCCAACCGGGCTACTTAGGCTAGCGGGTCACCGCTAAAGTCGAACCCTGAACTTATGTAACAGCTGTAGGCCTACATGTACTAACATTTCACTTTAAACTGAAAATTCAAACACAACTAGAGGTCAAGGCGTTTGTGGAGTTACAAACGCAGAGTGGACACCGTTGATGGCTTTGAACTTGTTCCCCAAAAAATGGGTGGAAGCCGTACACAGGAGTGTGAGCCTGTGTTTCTGTGATATTTGCATGAAATCGGGCCCAAAAATTGCTCTATTTTGCAATGGAGCGCATACGCTATTTTGCAAAATGGCGATGGACCATAAGGACTACTTTTTCGGAATGACATCCTTTGATGGAATTTTCTTCCAAAAGTCATAGGATAAATTAACAAAAATAAAACAGAAAATATAAGATTATGAAATAAGCTTTGATTTGGTGGGTGTCTCAAACGCACGGAACTGCGGCTTAGAGAGTTGTGGGTAACATAGACTGATTACCAGAATTATACATGTATATCTTTTTTTTTTTCATTTGTGACATTACGTAGAATATGGATCTAGAAGTTCCAGGTATTTCGCCTGGTTGGGAGTCTAAAATTGGAGTCGGTTACAAATGAGAATAAAAGAAATGCCCCGGTTGCTATTTTGAATCCTAACACGAAATACACGCAACTAGAACTGTTTTGGCGAACAGCGTTACCAAAACAGCCAATTATACGCGAACTACTTTTCGTACGTTCAACTCCCAAAACAAACTACGCGTAGGCTTGACCGTTAAACTTGAATAGCGCCCTCAATCAACTAAAAGTAATCGCACAACTGATCGTCACTGCACACTGTACAATTATTATGTAATCACAAACAATTCTTTCTAATCACAACAGCAAAGAATCCCTTTATCTATCTTTAATATCAAAATGAACACACGTAATTAAAAGGAGCTGTTTCGGCAAACTACGTCGCCGAAACAGCTAATTATTTTCGAACTACTTTTCGTACGTTTAACCCCCAACCAAACCTGCGTAGGCTTGACCGTTAAACTTAAATAGTGCCCTCAATTGACTGAGAGTATCCCACAAATATTCATCATTGAACAATGTACTCGAATTCCTTCCAATCACTACAGTACCAAGGAATTCGAACGCACCTTACTTTCCCTTCCAATATCGGGCGTTACACTATTGACAGCGCACTCTGTTACGTAATTTTCTAGCGCGTTCATTGTTACGCCGAATTGCCTATTCAACTGCACTCTCGATGGAGGAACCACCCCTCTCTCAAACTATTCTTCCTTTGTTTCACTTCTTGCAATCAACAATTCGTTGCATGTCGCGCGACTGTTCAGTCCGGTATGCTGGTCTCGCACTCACGAATGTATCAGGCCAAATCCAGGTCACAGTGGGTTTTTTTTTAGGTTGGGCCAAGCTTTTTCTTTCTTTTTTGTTCCCCGAAAAAAATGCGTTTTTTTTCCTTAATGCTGTACGCTGGTGGCTGCCTTTTTGCGACGTCATCTTCAAAAAGATATGGGTTTGGTGATTTTTTATTTGGGGGGGGGGGGGGCATGGCCCCCGTTGCCCTCCCCCCATCCGCCATTGTGTATGTCCCTATTCACCTGTGGCATCTTGACAAAGCCAATTGGTTTTAACCGACTTTTTTTCCTAATGCATGTATTCCACTTCATAAATCTTGAGTTTTCAACTCGCTATGAATTATGCTATCGAAGTCATTGATTCGTGTTTTACAAAATG